GGTTGGTGTGGTTTGGTTTGGTTTGGTTGGGCTTGATGTGGTTTGGTTTGGTTTGTTTTGGTTGGTGTGGTTTGGTTTGGTTTGTTTTGGTTGGTGTGGTTTGGTTTGGTTTGGGCTTGGTGTGGTTTGGTTTGGTTTGTTTTGGTTGGTGTGGTTTGGTTTGGTTTGGTTTGGTTGGGCTTGGTGTGGTTTGGTTTGGTTTGTTTTGGTTGGTGTGGTTTGGTTTGGCTTGGTTGGGCTTGGTTTGTGTATTTGTTTGACTCTCTATGTGTTTGTTAACCACCTTGTTTCGTTTGCGATGCTTCACTGCGGCAGATTTCGGACGGCGTGTCACCAATTCATCGGAACATTCTGACTGTGGCCAAGGGATTATACTGTAGGCCCCTAGCCTTGAAGCAGCCTGAAGCAGCCCTGTCGCTCCACAAACGTGCCTCGGAGAATGTGCGGTTTTTATGTTGTTTTCCCTTCAACATGAAACAAGTCACACCCACCAGACTGGAAGGTAGTTTCAGCGGTTCTCACAGTCGACAAAAGGGGGAGACTCGGCAATTGCTGGTGCGATCTGCTAGGACATTTTGACATTTTGGCAAGAGACGGACATGGCAAAACAAGGATGGAATGCGAACAAAAAGCCACACGACACAGTGACCAAATTGGGGGCAAGTGAATCTGATGATGACTAATTCCAAACAAGGAGTTTTCATTTCTGAACCTCTTTTTCCTTACTGCCTTTTGTTGCATATGTCGGTGCTCAGTCCCCCACCACTGGGCAGGCGTTCTCGACGTTGGTCAGAGCCTGCCCTGGCTTTATTCGCCTAGACAAGTCCCCTTGATCTGACTTGCTGTCGCTCTTAATTGTTTCTGATTGGGGATTGCCAGGTGATGCGGACTTTTGCGCCGGCTGTGGCCGTTGCCATGGTGGTGGACATAGTTGTCGGTGTTCTGCTGAAGAAGAGCATCGCTTGGTACATGTTCAGCATTTGCTGCTTGCAGAATTAATGCTGTCTTTGGGGAGTTTTGCGCTGGCACATGATTGATGCACTCCGGAGACAAGCAAGATCAGCTAGAATCTTCACGTGCCATGCCTTTTGCGAAGCCGAAATCTAATACCCTTTTGGGCTGATGCTTCTATGGATCGCCTTGATGTTGAATGTTTCTCGAACTTATTTCCCCTACTTCGTTTGAAGGAAGGTTCTTGCTGAGAACTCTTTGTGCAGGCTTTCAGCACCTCACGATTTTCATCATGAACTTGGCCGTCAATGTTGAGTTCCTCCAGGATTTGGATGACATTGCTGGCGGCTCGCCATTCGCCCCTGAGGAGCTGGCCCCCTCCAGTTGCAAGCTCCATTTTTTGCGCTTCCTTGGGGAGAGGGACAGATATGCGGCAGGGTTTGCTTTCCGTATTGCGAATCAGTGGCGTAGATCTTGTGGAGTGAGCCGTTTCCTGAATAGAAGCCGTTGGAACAAATTTGGCAAGCCCAGCCGTCGGTAAACCCCGGTGCGCAACGCGCCTCAGAGATCATTTCCACTCCAAGTCGTTTTTGTCATTGAGCACTTCTTTGCCTGTTTGAGACGCTCATTTAGAAGGCTTCTCTGTGGTGTACCTCTATTTAGATTGCTTCCACTTGAGCCCCTCGTATAGTTGCATTTTTTTTGGTACCCTTCAGCAATTGCAGATGAGGCATTCAGATCACCTTTCTTTTATCAAAGGTTATGTGCAGGATTATCATATTTTCCAAAACTCGTGCAGGCGGCTGTATAAATGTTGCGTCATGTTGAAAAACCTTTCTCCGTGAACATTTTGGCAACTCTGATATCCAAGGTTGTTTGCTACCAGAGTGGCAGTGGGTCACATCCTCTTAGTAGAAATCTAAGCTGCCAGATATATGGATGGAAATTTATTAGGAGTGGTTGTGCGTGAAGGGTTGGTTGAGGGTTTAGAGTGCGTTTAGGCTGGGTGTGAGTTAGCTTGCGAATCTGGGACGGGGAATAGACTTGGATGGGGTTCACCAGTGTTCAAAGAGTCATAAGGGTTTTAAGTAGGGAATATTATGCGGCGTATCTTTGTGAATGCAACTCCCCACGTGTGGAAGCTGTAAGATTTCGAGCCCATCAAAGCCCGGCATTTTGCACTGGAAACTGCACCTGAGTGTGTCTTTCTTCTTAGCAAACCCCCCGCCCCCGTGGTTGGGAAGATTGCACCGAATGTGGCGCGCGCGCGTGGCATATAAGAAACGAGATCTCTTTAATGGCATTCAATGAATACCAGTTAATGAAAGAGATCAATTTCGTGAATGAAGCACAAACGCATGCTCTTATTCTGTCTTTCCGATTTCTCCTCAATTATATAAGTGTCCTTTATTAAGAAGGCTCAGAGTTTCTTATTTGCCTCCCTTTTTTAACTTGCATGTTCTGTCTTGTTTCGATGCACGAAGTATGAATCTCCATGTTCGAAGCGTGTTCCCTTTATTTGGTCCTTTCTTTCCGTTGCTTCTGATAGTTCACTTTCCGAGACACATCAGTGGCGTAGCCTCACGCTTTGTAACCCGATGAATCGAGTAGAAAAGAACAACTGCTTTATGAAACAGAACATGGACAGGAATGGAACAAAATGAAAAGGAAACAGTCACTAAATAGAAACGTCATGGAACGAATGTTACATATATATATATATACATTTGGAACACATGAAAGATAATGGAAACACACTTGCAAACGTAATAACACGAAATAGTAATCGAAACAAGACCTGGAAAGGAGTTAGAAAGAAACGGAAGGGACGTGAAAAAAGATGTAAGGAACGGAAAGGGAATGGAGAGATTCAGAGAAAGGGAAAGGAGACTCGCCGCTTCGAAATTATTCTTTTTACGGCGCCTGGCCCAAGGGGCAATGAAAAGGAATGAACATGAGTGGAAAGAAAGGGAAAGGAACAGAAATGGAAAGGACATGTGAACAAAGGAATACAATAGAAATTGAATCAAAATAAGAAGGGAAAGGAATGAAACGGATATGGAAAGGAACGGAGAGGACATGAAACTATTTTTAAAGGAATGGAAAGGAACCTCGCCGCTTCAAAGTTGTTGACATGGACAATTGCGAAACGAGCACTCTTTCGGCCCGGGCTGGTCTTGGGCACTTCTAGCTAGGAATGAAAAGGAATGAACATGAGTGGAAGAAAGGAACATAATATAGAAAGAAATGGAATTCAAAAAGAAATTCAAGTCAATGGAAATGAAAGGAATGGAGAGGACATATAAACAAAGGAGTAGAATAGGAGTCGAAACGAAAATGGAAAGGATTGAAACGGAAATGGAAAGGAACGAAAAGGACGTGAAAAGGAATTTGAAAGAAATGAAAGGACACCTGCCGCTTCAACATTATTGATATGGATAATTGCACAACGAGCACTTCTTCGGCCCGGGCTGGCCCTGGGCACTTCTAGCTACGATTGAAGGGGAATGGAAAAGAGTGGAAGGGAATGGAGAACATGGAAAGAGAGGCAAAGAAATGGAAAGGAATAGCAAGAACTTGCAAAGAACATGGAAACACAAAGGAATGGAAGAGGACATGAGAAGGACATGGAATCAAAAATAAACAAGAGAATGGAAAGGAAACAGAAGGGAGTGGAAAGTTATTGAAAAGGAAATGGAAGTAAATGGAAAGGAACAGGACATGGAATAGAAAAATATTCGGAGATGTAATGGAAAGGACATGAACATACAATGGAAAGGACAGATGCGAAGAAAAGTGGAAAGGAATGAAAAGTACTTGGAGGACATGGAAATGAATGAAAAGGAAATCAGAATGGTCCAGTCGGGGGTGAAACCTGCACATATAGCAATGGTCCCACGTAAAGTCTTTGAGAGGGTGTAATTGTTGTCTTTTTCGCTTCCTGCGTTCCTTTCAAACTTCTTTCCATTTCCTTTATTTCTTGCTATTCCTTTCCATTACGTCTTCAGCTTTTCTACCTAGACGTGCCCAAGGTCAGCCCGGGCCGAAAAACGTACTCTCATTTTGCCAATTTTCGCGCAAACAAATTCATAGCGCCGGATTTCCTTTCCGCATGTCCTCTCCAATTCCAATTCCCTTTCCATTTACATTCCATTCCTTTTCACTAAAAGAAGGCAGCCTGGGCCGAAAAAGTGCACGTCTCGCAATTTCTCGTGTAAGACATTTTGAATCGGCGATGTCCTTTCCGTTTCCTTGACATGTCTCTCCATGTCCTTTTCCATGTCCCTTTCATTCTTTTGGATTTTCATACCATTTCAATTCCATTCATTCCTTTCTTTTCAATTCCTTTCCACTTCTTGTGACTCCAATTTCCTTGAAATTTTGTTTACATGTCCTTTCCATTTCTTTCCACTCGTTTGCATTCCTTTCCATTCCTAGCCCGGGCCAAATGGCATGAATGGTAAGGTCTAGCCCATGTCCCAGTATCATCCTATCCTAACTCATTCCTATCTCTCTCCTGTCAACCGCCGTGATTACTAAGGGAAAGAGCGGTTGGGAGAGCACTGGCTGTAAACATGACAATGCCTTCCTTCACTCCCCTCCTCGCAATGAACACAAGGAGGAGGAGGGAGTGAGAGGTAAGGAGATGTCCCTTCGTTCATATGATTAATGTTATCTTGCTTTTGTTTCGCTGCAACGATTACAAACTCTGGAATTTCCAAGAAGCGTTCCAGAAAAAGGACATGAACGACAGAGAATTAACGCTTGTGGATGCACCTCCCATTTTTGGAGTGCTTACAGTCCTAACAGTAAGATCTTAAGGAGCAGAATTCCTATTGACAAGACACAGAGATGAACAAGTAAATAATAGACAGGTGAGATTCATGTCGGGACAACATACAGCTAGTAATTCAAATAGATTATACTTATAGTTAAAAAATGAAAATGAAGAACACATGTGTGTGTGAGAGATTCTGGAAGATGTCCCGCACAGCGGCTTAAAACCTGGGATCTACAGCATATTGAATCTACTTTTGGATATCTTCGTTCTCATTTATAAGGCTTGTTTGTGAGGATCTCCTAGTCACCTCTTTGTCCTTCCTTCTTCAAATCTTAAAACTTTATTGTTGGCATGAAAAGGATTATGAAAAGGACAGATGGAGACCTAGTACTTCTTAACTAGGATTACTTCGTCCTCATTCGTAAGGTGGTGACAGCTAGCGAAGTGATGGATAGCTTCTTTAATATCAGCTCTTGGGATCTTTTACCTATATCCTTGGTAAAAGCGGAGGAAAGAAGGAAATGCTCGTTTCGCAATTTCCCTGAAAAGAGTTTTGAAGAGACGAGTTTCCTTTCCCTCCCTCGCATTCCTTTCCATTTCCATTCCATGTCAATTCCATTTTAATTCCATTTCTTTCCTTTCCATTCCTAGTTAGAAGTGCCCACGGCCAGCCCGGGCCAACCACATGCTCGTTTCGCAATTTCCCGTGTCAATAATTTGGACGCGGCGAGTTTCATGTCCATTTCCTCGAGATTTATGCTCATGTCTTTCCGTCCCTTTCCATATTCGTTTCATTCCTTTCTATGTGTGTTCCATGTCCATTCCATTTCAACTCCATCTCTGTCTTTTCATTTCATGTACTATCCATGTCCTTTCCGATTTTCCATTCTCTTTCCTTCTTTGTCTTTCCATTCCTTTTCGCTCCCCTGTAATCCTCTTCATTCCTAGCCATATGTGATCAAGGCCAACCAAGCCGGAAAAGTGCTCGTTTCGCAAGTTCCCTGACCATAGTTTTGAAGCGGTGAGTTTTCATTCCTTTCCATGTCCATTCCATGTCAATTCCATTTTATTTCCATTGAACTCCTTTCTCTTCCTGTCCTTTCCGTTTCTTCCCGTCTCCCTTGCCATTCATGTCCTTTTTATGTCCTTTCTATTCCTGACCTTCTGGCAGTAGTCATATACTTATCTCACAAATACATTTGAACACTAATGCGAAACAATAGCTGGACAATCAGTCAACTAATTAGAAAACTAGCTGACAAATCAGTCATTGTTTTCTAATTTTTCTAATTAGTTGGAAACAATAGCTAGAAAACCAATCATGTTTTTCCATTCTTTTTTTGTAATGATTGCACACCCGGAAGAGGGCGGTAAATCCACAACAAAAAACACTCATCACCAAACAAACACAATCAACAACTCACAAAAACAATCAACAGCTTTGAACAATCAAACAACAAAACAGCAAAAGCGAGTAACTAACGGACAGGAAAGGAAGACGAAAAGGAAGATGTCAAGGACATGGAAAGACAAGGGGCCGTTTGTGCCTGGCAGTTCGCTCACTGAAGTGTGTTTTTCGAATCAAGGGAGCCTGCGGCTGGACCTGGGCACTTTGAAGCGGGGGAGGGACATGGAAAGGACATGGAAAGGACATGGAAAGGACATGGAAAGGAAATGACGAATGGTCTAAATATGATGAACAAGATGGTAAAATGATGACAATGATGATGAACATGATGAGGATCATGACGAACACAATTTTTGAAAAATTAATTAGGACACTTAGCTGAAAAGTCAGCCAATATTTTCTACTTTTTCTAATGCACATAGACAAACTAACTGAACAATCAGTCAATTTGCTCTCATTGTTACATTGTTTCTAATTGTTGGAGGCCCGGTCTCCGGAATGTTGAGACCTGTCTCTTCTTCTACTTTTTCCAATTATTCTAATGTTTCTAATTAATTAGACAAACATAGCAGGAAAATCAGTCATTTTTTCATGTTTTTAATCTTTCTACTTAATCATAAAAAAAAAAAAAAAAAAACATAGCTGACATATCAGTCAGTTTTTTGTATATTTGAAATTGGCTAGAAGACATAGCTGAAACATCAGGCATTTTTTAGCTTCCCTGTTTTGTCTAACTAATCAGACAAACTAGCTGAAGAAACAGTCAACGATTTCTGGTTTTCTTCAATCTTTTATAACCATATAGTTAGAAACCATAGCTGAGACATCAGTTGTTTTTCTACATCTTTTGATTATCTATTTCGATTATTCTTCTAATTAAGTAGAACAAATAGAAATAATAGAAACAATAAGAAAACAACTAGGTCCGCACATTCCGGATACCGGGCGTCCAATAATTGGAAAGCTTAAGAAATATAGAAACACATGACTCATTTTCAGCTATTTCTTTAATTAATTAACCGTTTTGTGTTTCTTTCAATTTTTCAAATTGTTCTTAATAATTTCCCGGTTTTACGGAATGTTGGGACCGTTTTTTTTTTTGGTGATACTTCTAATTTTTCTAATTTTGGTATTTTTTTGTAACTAGACAGACAAATCGCTGGCAACTCAGTCATTTTTTCTGTTTTTTCTTTTTTTTGTACTCGATAAGGACAATTAGCTGAACAATCAGTCAATTGTTCCTATTTCTTCTATTCTTTGTAATTTGTTAGAACAAATAGTTGATTTCTAATTAATTTAGAAGAAAATAGAAAACATAGAGAACAATGACTGATGTTGCAGCTAGTATTTCTAATTAATTAGAACAATTAACAAACAAAAAGGCCCCAACATTCCAGAGACCAAGTAGCCGGAGACCAAGTCTCATCATCATCATCATCATCATCATCATCATCATCATCATCATCATCATCATCATCATGTTCATCATTTTATCATCATCATCATCATCATGTTCATCATTTTATCATCATCTTGCATCATCATGTTCATCATTTTCATCTTTTTCGTTTTTCAATATATAATCATCGCTTGTCATCATTTTCATCATCATGTTCATCATCTTCAAAACATAGAAACAATGCAATGTTCTAATAAATTAGCATGAGGAAGTCGTGAAAATGCAACGGAGGTTGAAAGACATGTAAAGAAATGGAAGGAACATGGAAGGGAGAGAGCCTGGAGGAATCGGAAGGAAGCCGCAAACACACGTTTTCTGCGCGCCACACGTTGTGACACACTTGGATTTCATCTTCCCTCATACCGTTCCCTGCTCCCCCCCCCGCCCCCCCCAGCTGCCTTCCGGGGCTTCCCTTCCGTGGCCCAGCTGCGCGCCGGCGTTTCTCGAGGCATGGCCAGCTGCGTGCAGTCCACCGGGGCCTACGTCATCGCCTCGCTGCTCTCCCTGCCGGGCCTCGCGGCGGCCTCCGTTGGGGCGGGGCCGAGGCTGAGCTGAGCACGGGAGAGCACGGGAGAGAGGGAGTGAGAAGTCCAGGGTGGGGGTGACCAGTTTTAGGTTTAATTCATTTTTTTGGTTTGGGGGGGGGGGGTTGGGGTTTTGGGGAGGTATTGGATATATAGGTTGGTGGAAAGATCTCGCCAGGGTGGATTTGGCAAGCCCTGAAATAAATGGCTGGCTTCTCGTTTTGGTCTGCGCTTTACATTCGACTCCCAAAAAAATGATACCGCACCTCAACAGACAACAATTGTGACACCCGTGTGTCACCATTAGAGATCTCTGCAATCCTACTGCATGCTGTTCCATTCAACCACATGTTCCGTTGTTTGGCCTCTTCGCACACAGATGCTTCGTCCCATGGGTCAACTTGGTGTGTGATGGCCACTCTTCGCCTCCAGGGCCATTTGTTCATCTTATGTTCCTCCATGGTTGCTTTTGCTAATCCATTCACGACCTGAGATTCTAACCCTTAGATTCGTTGAGCATTCATTTCACGGTCCCAAGTGAGCGATTGCAGATCCGGTGCGTGTGGACTGCTCCAAGGAGGCGCTGTCTTGTCGCCCTTGTACCTTTGTCACTTGAGTCTTCTGCACAATTTGGGAGGGCGCTGTGAAGGCTATTCTTCTCTTGCACCAGTTTTCGGAGGCCAAAGGGCCAAGGATGTTGCCAAAAATGAGACCCGCGCGATGTTTGAGTGTTGCAGTCCTCGGCATTTGATCTCTCCTTGGCATTTCGATCATACTCGAACTAGGTTCCCTACACAGTCCTGCAAAATGGGAGTGTGGCCTGACTTGAAGCAACTTAAGACGGGGTCTTCGGAGTTCAATCCCTGAAGCCTGAGGATGCTCCTGACGCTGGCAGCGGTGATCTTTCTGGCAGAACTTGTGCTGGGCCTTGGAGTTCTGCAGTTGCCCGAAGAGGCACTGGAGGCGCAGAAAAGCGTTCGCACCAAATGCGACCGGCTTTGAGGTTCATGATTTGTTGGTCCCATCTCTTGGCACACGTGCTGTTGTTCTTTTGCCAGCTTCGTTGGAGTGCGTAAAGTGGAGCTTCAGGAATCCGGGGGACTTTATCTGTGAGTCATGAACATGTGTCGGGCACCGGGAGAGCACCGAAGGATGGGACAGGGGCCATTTTTAGCGGGTTGAGCAAAGTCCGCGTTGCGCGAGTACAACAGCTGCTTGTTCCGTCAAAAGCTGGGCCTTGCTGTCTGCAGGCCAGCCCGGTGCATGTCGCGGGCAAGGCGAAGAAATGAGATGGAAGCTCCAGCCCAGGGTGTCATGCGGTCGCCGGCCGTCGGTGAGCAGCCAATTGCCACAACCCTCAAGGCTTGGCAGCCTTCTGGCCTTGTGCCCTTGGGCATAGCACAGCAATGGCTCGAGCTGCAGGAAAAAACAGGTCCGGTCTTGAGGTGAAGTTTGCAGGTCATTTGTGGAATCCGAGCGCCGCAGCATTCGGCCAATGCTAACCCCTATGCCAAGCTCGCTCGCTATGCCTCGTCCTCTCGGGGCGTGGCGCCGCACCTTGCGGCGTCTGCGGCTGCAGCTGGCCATGAGAAGTGGGGCTCGCTGGTGTCATTTTGGCGACCCAGAGGGAGCTGCGACCTGCACCTGTCGCTCTCGTTTTGTTTTTCCCTTGTTGGGTCCGGGCTTTCGATCTGATGGCGTGACCGATGCCGTGAGCTAGCCACAAGAGTTTGGCTCTTCGAGCAGAAGCTGCTGCTGATCTCGGAATGCAGACATCATTGAGATCGAGGGGCTTCGCCGGCGGCTTAGCTCATGCGGGTTCCTTGCAATTGCATTGCCACTGCGCCACAACTTGTTGCGGTCGCTTGGGCCGAAGGGTTGGATTCAGATGACGTCTTCCTTCTTTGATGCGTGGTTTCATCTGCGGTCGCCCCTAAAACCGTCTTTGGTTTGCGCTTCGGTCCTCCAAGTCCCGTGGGGAAGCCGAAGTGGAGAGGCGGGAGCGCTGGCCATGCCTTTGAGCCACAACCTCGTGACGACCTCACTTTGAGCACTTGGCTGGACCTCACAGTGTGAGAGTTTTTCGCGTCACCGAAAGCGGCCAATGTTGACTGGCTGAGTTGCGACCAATCCGCCGAAGACACCCCTATTCAGTTGTCAAGTGTTGCCCCTGACGCGAGGGACAGCATTCCTGCAGGGAGTGAATTCACTTTGACCGGCTTGTTTTTAAGGCGGTCATGTTGCAATCTGCTGGCCAAGTTTTGGTCTTGGAACTTGTGCAGGACACCAAGACCGGAAAGCAAGCAACAGCATTGGGCAACCCCGCACCAGCACCCCAACTCCACCCTAACTCCACCCCAACTCCACCCCAACTCCACCCCAACTCCACCCCAACTCCACCCCAACTCCACCCCAACTCCACCCCAACTCCACCCCAACTCCACCCCAACTCCACCCCAACTCCACCAACCTGATGCCGGAATTGCTCACCTCGCATGACAGCAGGTCAGGGCCTGCCAGGCTGCCCATGGCAAGGACTCCCATGCCCTCGAGGCTCTGGTGGGCCTTCTTGCGCTCGCACACATGAGCTATGATTGGCTCTTGAGAGTGCCACAAAAATATGCTTGTGCATCGCACACGAATCGCACGGCAGGTGTTTTTTGAATGCGCTTTCAAAGAGCTTGAGCTTCTCAACGTATCAAAGGTTGAGGTGTGTCCGTATCCCATGGATTTACGCTTGGTCGCGGGAAGGTGCTGCAGAAGGAGGTAGACATCTCCGCTTGCGCCCAATAGACAGACAGGGAGTCAGCAGACAAGCCGCCCTCCATGAGGGTTGGTCGCCTGTGAATGTCGAACAGGTGAAAACGTGTGTGCTAAGGGCTGCCACGTTTGGCTGCCCCAATGCTGTCTGTTGATGCACCATTTGTGCCGGACGGTGCGCGGGCACTCAACTCTGTGCACATGTGTTGAGAGGCTGCTTGCGCAAGCTTTTGCTTCAAGCTTTCCGTTGCCCACCCTAGCGTTTGCTGAAGGCCTGTCATGTCGGCAGGATATGGCGGTTCGGTTCCTGCCACCATGAAAGCGGCTGTGGTCGAGGAGTTTGGCAAGCCGTTGGTGGTGAAGGATGTGCCCGTTCCAGAGCCCGGTCACGGAGAAGTTCTAGTGAAAGTTATTGCGTCGGGGGTGTGTCACACGGACTTGCATGTGCGCGATGGTGACTGGCATGTCAAGCCGACACTCCCAATCATTCCGGGACATGAAGGTGCCGGTGTTGTCGTGAAGCTGGGGCCGAATGTCACGACCCTGAAGATTGGCGATCGTGTGGGCCATGCCTGGCTTCATGACTCCTGCGGAGGCTGTGACTACTGTTTGTCAGGTTGGGAGACCGTTTGTGGCAATCGTGCCGTTGTTTGTGGCGTTGGATGAAACAGGGCAGACACATGACATGTGAGAGGTTGGCATTTCTTGCAAAAATAGCATGCGGCATTGGCTCAGGCACCAGACGGGCTTCTTGGCGAACGGATGCTTCGCTGAGTACACCATTGCAGAGGCAAACTACGTGGGCAAGATCCCTGACAACGTGAGCTTTGCTCAGGCAGCACCGGTGCTGTGTGCAGGCGTGACCACCTACAAGGCTTTGAAAGAGACCGAGGCCAAGCCCGGGCAGTGGGTTGCGATCATTGGCGCCTGCGGTGGCCTTGGCCATGTGGGTTGCCAATATGCGCAGGCTATGGGTCTCAAGGTCTGCGCCATTGATTTCGGCGCCGACAAGCAGAGCTATGCCATAGATACGTTGGGGTGCAAGGCCTATGTGGACATCAAGGGAAAGAGCTCGGAGGAAATCGTGGCAGCAGTGAAGGCGGCTTGTGATGGGGTTGGACCACATGGATCCGTGATTCTTGCACCTGTGCCAGCAGCCTTCCGACAAGGAGTTGACATGCTGCGGCCCATGGGCACTGCTGTGGGCATTTCCCTTCCGCCTGGAGACTTCCCAGTGGACATCTTTTCCCTGATCCTCCACAGGAAGACGGTGCGCGGATCAATCGTGGGCACCCGCAAGGACCTGAATGAGTCTCTGACTATTTGCGGGGAAGGACACGTGAAGTGCACAGTGGAGGAGAGGAAGCTTGACGACATCAACGCCATCTTCGATGACATGGTGAAGGGGAAGATCAAGGGCCGTTGCGTGCTTCGCATTGCTCCTGACCCCTGAGTGACAGATCTCCGCTTGTGCCCCATAGACAGACGGGGGATGAGCAAACAAGCAAGTGCTTGGATGAGCTTTGCGACACAGGTTTCCAGGGCTTGATGCCAACTTGATGCAGCGCAGTCTTTTGTTTGTCCTTGGTTGCTTAATTGCATCTTCGGGCAGAGGATTGCATTGTGCTGTGGTGCGATGCGGCACTTTCGATTTAACATGTTTTCAAAGGTTCCAGAAACAAATCCGTCCTCCATGAGGGCTGGTCGCCCGTGAATGTCGAACAGGTGAAAACGTGTGTGCTAAGTGCTGGCACGCTTGGCTGCCCCAATGCTGTCTGTTGATGCACCATTTGTGTCGGACGGTGCGCGGGCACTCAACTCTGTGCACATGTGTTGAGAGGCTGCTTGCGCAAGCTTTTGCTTCAAGCTTTCCGTTGCCCACCCTAGCGTTTGCTGAAGGCCTGTCATGTCGGCAGGATATGGCGGTTCGGTTCCTGCCACCATGAAAGCGGCTGTGGTCGAGGAGTTTGGCAAGCCGTTGGTGGTGAAGGATGTGCCCGTTCCAGAGCCCGGTCACGGAGAAGTTCTAGTGAAAGTTATTGCGTCGGGGGTGTGTCACACGGACTTGCATGTGCGGGATGGTGACTGGCATGTCAAGCCGACACTCCCAATCATTCCGGGACATGAAGGTGCCGGTGTTGTCGTGAAGCTGGGGCCGAATGTCACGACCCTGAAGATTGGCGATCGTGTGGGCCATGCCTGGCTTCATGACTCCTGCGGAGGCTGTGACTACTGTTTGTCAGGTTGGGAGACTGTTTGTGGCAATCAGCGCCTGGGCCGTTGTCATGTGCCGTTCTTTGTGGCGTTGGATGAAACAGGGCAGATACATGACATGTGAGAGGTTGGCATTTCTTGCAAAAACAGCATGCGGCATTGGCTCAGGCACCAGACGGGCTTCTTGGCGAACGGATGCTTCGCTGAGTACACCATTGCAGAGGCAAACTACGTGGGCAAGATCCCTGACAACGTGAGCTTTGCTCAGGCAGCACCGGTGCTGTGTGCAGGCGTGACCACCTACAAGGCTTTGAAAGAGACCGAGGCCAAGCCCGGGCAGTGGAGTGTGCCAGAGAGACTGAACAAGGATAGTGCACCATGAAAGCCATGTGCCCGTTCCAGAGCCCGGTCACGGAGAAGTTCTAGTGAAAGTTAGTGTCACACGGACTTGCATGTGCGGGATGGTGACTGGCATGTCAAGCCGACACTCCCAATCATTCCGGGACATGAAGGTGCCGGTGTTGTCGTGAAGCTGGGGCCGAATGTCACGACCCCGAGGGCCAGCTTCATGACGGAGGCTGTGACTATCAGGTTGGGAGAGCAATCAGCGCCTGGGCCGTTGTCATGTGCCCGTTGGATGAAACAGGGCAGACACATGACATGTGAGAGGTTGGCATTTCTTGCAAAAATAGCATGCGGCATTGGCTCAGGCACCAGACGGGCTTCTTGGCGAACGGATGCTTCGCTGAGTACACCATTGCAGAGGCAAACTACGTGGGCAAGATCCCTGACAACGTGAGCTTTGCTCAGGCAGCACCGGTGCTGTGTGCAGGCGTGACCACCTACAAGGCTTTGAAAGAGACCGAGGCCAAGCCCGGGCAGTGGGTTGCGATCATTGGCGCCTGCGGTGGCCTTGGCCATGTGCAGGCTATGCCAAATATGCGCAGGCATATGGGTCTCAAGGTCTGGCGCCATGTGATTTCGGCGCCCGCACAAGCAGAGACTAGTGCCATCGTAGATACGTTGGGGTGCACAAGGCCTATCGCATTGGACATCAGATTGGACAGAAAGAGCTGATGAGCGAATGATGTGACGCATGCAATTGTGCAAGGCATTGTGCTTGTGATGGGGTTTGACATGTTTTCAAAGGTTCCCAAACATGAGGGCTGGTCGCCCGTGAATGTCGAACAGGTGAAAACGTGTGTGCTAAGTGCTGGCACGCTTGGCTGCCCCAACTGTCTGTTGATGCACCATTTGTGTCGGAGCACTCAACTCTGTGCCGAGGCTGCTTGCGCAAGCTTTTGCTTCAAGCTTTCCGTTGCCCACCCTAGCGTTTGCTGAAGGCCTGTCATGTCGGCAGGATATGGCGGTTCGGTTCCTGCCACCATGAAAGCGGCTGTGGTCGAGGAGTTTGGCAAGCCGTTGGTGGTGAAGGATGTGCCCGTTCCAGAGCCCGGTCACGGAGAAGTTCTAGTGAAAGTTATTGCGTCGGGGGTGTGTCACACGGACTTGCATGTGCGGGATGGTGACTGGCATGTCAAGCCGACACTCCCAATCATTCCGGGACATGAAGGTGCCGGTGTTGTCGTGAAGCTGGGGCCGAATGTCACGACCCTGAAGATTGGCGATCGTGTGGGCCATGCCTGGCTTCATGACTCCTGCGGAGGCTGTGACTACTGTTTGTCAGGTTGGGAGACTGTTTGTGGCAATCAGCGCCTGGGCCGTTGTCATGTGCCGTTCTTTGTGGCGTTGGATGAAACAGGGCAGATACATGACATGTGAGAGGTTGGCATTTCTTGCAAAAACAGCATGCGGCATTGGCTCAGGCACCAGACGGGCTTCTTGGCGAACGGATGCTTCGCTGAGTACACCATTGCAGAGGCAAACTACGTGGGCAAGATCCCTGACAACGTGAGCTTTGCTCAGGCAGCACCGGTGCTGTGTGCAGGCGTGACCACCTACAAGGCTTTGAAAGAGACCGAGGCCAAGCCCGGGCAGTGGGTTGCGATCATTGGCGCCTGCGGTGGCCTTGGCCATGTGGGTTGCCAATATGCGCAGGCTATGGGTCTCAAGGTCTGCGCCATTGATTTCGGCGCCGACAAGCAGAGCTATGCCATAGATACGTTGGGGTGCAAGGCCTATGTGGACATCAAGGGAAAGAGCTCGGAGGAAATCGTGGCAGCAGTGAAGGCGGCTTGTGATGGGGTTGGACCACATGGATCCGTGATTCTTGCACCTGTGCCAGCAGCCTTCCGACAAGGAGTTGACATGCTGCGGCCCATGGGCACTGCTGTGGGCATTTCCCTTCCGCCTGGAGACTTCCCAGTGGACATCTTTTCCCTGATCCTCCACAGGAAGACGGTGCGCGGATCAATCGTGGGCACCCGCAAGGACCTGAATGAGTCTCTGACTATTTGCGGGGAAGGACACGTGAAGTGCACAGTGGAGGAGAGGAAGCTTGACGACATCAACGCCATCTTCGATGACATGGTGAAGGGGAAGATCAAGGGCCGTTGCGTGCTTCGCATTGCTCCTGACCCCTGAGTGACAGATCTTTGCTTGCGCCCCATTAGACAGACAGGGGATGAGCAAACAAGCAAGTGCTTGGATGAGCTCTGTGACACAGGTTTCCAGGGCTTGATGCCAACTTGATGCAGCGCAGTCTTTTGTTTGTCCTTGGTTGCTTAATTGCATCTTCGGGCAGAGGATTGCATTGTGCTGTGGCGCGATGCGGCACTTTTGATTTACCATGTTTTGAGTTCATGAGTTGGCAAGGAAAAGCTGCTCTCGAAGATTGCTTGTTATCCTGTTCATGAATCGGTTGGTTGCCAAGTGCAGAGTGGCCGATTTCGCAGCAATTTTGCATGTGATCAATCGTCGCCACTCAGCTTCTGGTCAATATTCAGGTAGAGCCGGCTTGCCAGAGTGTCAGCCATGGAGCCACCAAAGCTGTGGCTTGGCTGAAGCACTTACCTCTATGTTTTGCTTAAACAACAAGAGCTTTGTTCAGGATGCGAATTGACAGTCAAAAGAGGAAGTTCCAGGCTGGACTGGTAGAGACTCCAAACTTGGGTCGCTGCTGCTGCTTGCTGCTAGCTCGTCAGGATGACCAGGACGAGGGAATGGCCTTTTCAGGAAAGGAACTTCCTGATGGTGCATCTGCAGGTCGCATGCTGTTCAGACTTTGCACTTTGTGCACTCAACTGCCATTAGGCAAGGCGCAAAAAGAAGCAGATCAGCTGGCGGAGGCCTATTTCTCCCATCTTTTCCCAATCAATGGGGCCAGGGTTCCACTTTTTGACTACCCCAGACTTAAACCCAGAAGGTTCCCTTTGGACATCAAGGGAACCCCTTGGGTTTAAGTCTCTCGTAGTCAAAAAGTGGAGCTCTGAATGGGGCATCCGTCTCCTGTCACCCCATGTCTCGGCTCCTCTTTGGTGGGCCATCGGCAGGCGATCGCCAACGATTACGTGCCCAAGGCGGATCTGAGATCGAGGCATTTGAGCTCCATGCGGGCGCGAGCGGCCTGTCAGGTGCCTGATGTGGACAAGCCCTTTGTGGGTGCCATGCCCGTGTTGCTGAAGAAGCCCAGGATCTACAATGATGATGAAGCTTGTCATAGCTGTCTTGTAGATTCAGTCATACAGTCATACACATACGATTCCTCGCTTGAGCCCAGGAAACATGCCGCAATACTCGAGTGGCATCTCAAGCGATCACAAAAGCAATCCAGAAAGCAGATGGAGTCGTGCTGGTCTTTGCCCAGGCATGCTGGACATTCGGAATCATGGGCCCTTTGCACCGTTGGTTGTTTTCTGGCTACAACTTGAAGCCTTTGCAATCCTTTGCTTCTCCAACTTGATTCGTGATTGAGAGTTGCCAGGATGTCTCGCGCACTGCTTGTGCAAAGTCCATGTTGGAGCATGCCTGTGCAGCTTGGTTGCCCAATTAGATTTGCATTAGATTTGCAGAGGCAAAAAACCTTGCTCAAGCCATGTGAACCCAGGATTCCGAGGATGCGGTCGCAAAGGCGCGGGGGGTGGTTGGGTTGTTGCTGGAGTATTGATCTTCGTGTTTGGCCCAAGGCGCCCATCAAAGTTGCAATGGCAAGTGACTGGCAGCACACCTTGCCCCTCACAGAGACCAGGCGCGCAAACCGGCGCGGGCCTTGGAGACGGAGACGCGACAAACGCGGCGATTGTTCAGGCTGCAGGCTGTTCCGATCTTGGATGTGGCGCACCCACTCCTCATCTACGTAGGTAGGGCTTGTATGGCGGAAAGGGCGGGGGGGGGGGGAGAGGTTTGACAGCCCTCCAAACCATTCCCACTTTTGCCCGGCGTCCTCACCTCTTGTCCCCACTCTCCTTTCCCGTGCACGCTCTCACTGGCTCATTGGCTCCCTGGCTCCCCATTCTGCTACCAGTCACGAGTAAGGCGCTGACGTAACTGAGTGCTTTCCAGCTTGTTTTTGAAGCCTCGAAGTGCAGATGCATCATACCTCAATCTCGGGCCTGCGCACCGCACAAGCTAAACTCTGGTGCGGCATGCGCCAGCCAACCACTCCACCTGCGCTCCTGTTTCAACACCATTTTCAGAACAGGCGACTGGAGTGCGCGTGTCCATGGCTTCTTGACTATGACAACATGCAGCGTTTTATGCTCTTGCAGTGCATCAGATGCATAGTAAGCTCTTGGTGTGCCTCATGCATAGCATAGTAAACCAAAGCAAAGATCACAGGAGTCCACCAACAAACCTTGAGAATCCAAACCGACCTTGGAGACGATGAACCGCTGGATCAAGCCATCGCAGCACCAAAAAGATATTCAAACAATCCTCAGACACTCCTTCTAGAAGTGATAAATTGTTTTAGCCTTGGTTTTGTCGGTTGGCTTTCACATGGTGTTTTTTTACTTGGTTTTCTTTGTCTTGGGCTGGTTTGATCCAGATCTGAGTCGTCCTTATCTTCAAACTGAATGTCATGAGATTTGGCCGTCCTCCGTTTCTACGATTGGTATATTTCTCCAATGTTAATTTCATGTTGTGACAAACAAACTATAAAAAAGTCGTTTGGATCAACATCTTTCATATTCAACTATTGAACAAGTTATGATGACACATCGGCATGGACCTTTCATTAATATATTTACAGCGATCCAACCATATATATATACATACATAGTTTATGTATATTTACTGACCAATCTGTTGGGGTGTCAATATTTTGACGCCTCCGGCTCAGGCCGCCGACATTGCAGGCCTGCTTTCTTATTTGCGTCCCTTTGGAATTGTCCTATTGGACGTTTTCCTTTGGATGTTTCCCATCGCCATTGGAATTATCCCATTGGACTTCTCTCCCCTTGGAAGTCTCCCGGCAAGATCTCGTCCCCTCTTCCCCCCTAAGATCTTTGCCCCCCTTGCCCCCTTCCTCTCTAAGATCTTTTCCCCCGTCCCTCCCTGAGATCTGCTCCCCCTTTTCCTCCCTAAGATCTTTCCCCCCCTTTCCCTGTTGAGATCCTTTCCCCCCTTTCCCCCCAAAAGCCTTTTCCCCCCTTTCCCCCCCTGAGATGTTCCTTTTTTCCTCTTTAAGATCTTTTCCCACCTTTCCCCCTCTAAGATCTTCTCCCCCCTTCCCCCCCCCCCCCCCTAAGGATCTGTTCCCCCATTTCAACCCTAGATCTTTGCTCCCCCCACCCCCCTCCCCCACCCTAAGATCTTTGCCCCCTTCTCCCCCCTTTCCCTCTAAGATCTTCCCCCCCTCCCCTCTTCACCCCCTTACAATATCTTTTCCTCCCTTTCACCTACGAAATCGTTTCCCCCCCACTAAGATCCTTTCCCCCCTTCCTAAGGTTTTTCCCCCCTTCCCCCCCCTTATAACATCTTTCCCCCACCCCCTAAGATCGTTCCCCCCCTAAGATCTTGTCCACCCTTCCCCCCCAAACCCTCCTAACATCTTTTCCATTCTTTCTCCTCCGAAGATCCTCTCCCCCTCTCCCCACCCCCTTTATAAGATCTTTCCCCCCCCCTCCCCACGTTTCACCCCCTAAGATTGTTTTTCCCTTTCCCCCTCAAAGATCATTTCCCCCCTTTTCCCCCCCTATGGTCTTTCCCCCTAAGATCTTCTTCGCCCCTTCCCCCCCCCTGAAGATCCTTCCCCCCCCCTTTCTCCTCCTAACATCTCTCCCCTCACCCTATAAGATCTTTTTCCCCCGTCCCCTCCTAAGATCTCCCTTTTCCCCGTAAGATCTTTTGCCACCTTCTCCCCCTAAGATTTTTCCCTCCCTCCTCCCCTGATGCTTTCCCCCCTTTTCCCCCCTAAGGTCCGTTTTCCCGCCCTTCCCCCCCTAAGATCGTTTCCACCCTTTCCCGCCCTAAGATCCTCCCCTTTTCCCCCTTTAAAGATCTTTTGCCTTCTTTGTCCTCCTAAGATCTCTTCCCCCCTTACCCCCTCTCCCCACCTAAGATCGTTTCCCCCTTTCCCCCCGTTTAAGATCTTTTCCTTCGCCGCCCTTTGCCCCCTAAGATCTCCCCACCCTTTCCTCCCCTAAGATCTTCCCCCCCCCACCGATCTTCTCCTCCCTTCACTTCCCTTCATGTCCCTTTCGCTCCGCATCCTTGGCAGCTGGTGTGGATGATGCAGGTGATGCTGGCGATGTTGCCCAGGAGATGCTAAGGATGCAAAAGCGGAGCTGGGGGAGAATCGAACACCCCAATGTTTTTACGCAACTGTGTGCCGCACAGCCCCCAGAAGAAAGGATTTTAGTGAACGTCTTAAAATCACCGCGTGGCATGCGGCCACCCCCCGGGGGTTTGGGTGAAGAGGTAAGGAGCATTTCTTATGTCCAACGCCGCCGTCTGTTGTCGGCGGATATCCTTTAAACCAAGCAACATGCACCCGAGCAGGCCTTCACGCTTATGCAAGTATACACTTGCACACATTATATGTGTGGGTTCAAACTGGCACAAAGAGGTTCAACCACAGGGATTCAAATATTTCATTACCTATATAATTCACAACATGGGTATGTATGTATATATATATATATATGTTTGTATAGATAATGATATAATATATATATATATATGCTACTCCCCCCCCTTCTGTTGCCTCTCCAGTGCATGACTTGCCGATCTAGGACTGGAAGAAAGCATCCCTCAACTAGGATTGGGGCCCAATAGGACTAGAACCAAGGATGTCTCTAAACTAAAACTAGGACCAAACTAGGACTAGACGATTTAGCTCTGATTCTTATAGCGATTGAATTTCAAGTATAACTTCCTCTGGAATGCCCTGTATACTTTCTAAACAATTGAGTAAACTAGGGTCAAAGTAGGGCTAGAACCAAGGATCTCTCAACTAAGACTTGGGCCAAGCTAGGACTGATCTTATAGTGTTTGAATTCCAAGTATACTCTTGTATTGGAAAGGCCATCCTGTGTAACAATTAGGTTGAAATAGAATAACCAATAGTTAAAGTCTACTTTAAAAGAGGAATTATGAATGGAGTGTTTTCATACTGAATCATAGCTAATGTCAAACATAATTCACGTAGAACTCTTGATGCGCGTACTAAATAGAGTTAATACGGAAAGAACTCAGAAGTCCCCAAATTGTTGAATAAGTTGTGTTTTCTTGTTTTCTGATTTGTAAGGACAAGGCTTCTATTGGAAGGATATCCTGTGTAGGATTTTTGTTGAAGGTCAATATGTTAATTTTACTTTGAAATAGAAAACGTGACCCCTTTTCTTGTTCGAATATATTAAATTCCAGCTGGAATTTGAGTAGAGTTTGATCGAACATGAAGTAGTCGTAGAGTTCATAAGGACAGAACTCAAGGTCCCAAAACCGTTTTCTCTCCAGCGCTACCAGGGTCAGAAAGCGCCTCGAAAAAAAAGAACAATGTTTTGTAGCGTTTGTCGCAAGAACGGCCGTTCTCCAAATTTGAATTTGATTCGGCTAGGATTTAAACGGAACGCAATAAGAAAATGCGTGAGAAGAATCCTATTGCGCATGATGTCACAAAAATAGAATTTGGATAGACTTTATTTCTCCATGAGAAATTCAGTTCAACTGGAGCTGAAGCAGAAGTGGATAAGGACATAATCCCAGCCCATATTTAAGATTCGATTCAAGGTTCAGAATCCCGTGTACAAGTTGTGCAAGTCTTCCCTGCAGACTTGAGTCCGGGCCCCACAGGATTTCCTGTCCAATAGAACATTACACTTGGAATTCAACGTGACGGACGACTGCCGTTGAGGAATTATAGAAGACAGTCTAGCGCTCAAAAGACTTAGATTTTTAATCCGTGCTTGGATTCAAGGTTCAAGGCCCCCTGGACAAGTTTGTCCTTGAATCTTGAATCTGGGTGCAAAAGGTTGAAAAGATTGAAATTTAAATCTCCCAGCTTCAAGGTTCAAGGCTGATCCAAGTACTTACTTTAGTATTGCCAATTCTATTTTAGTATTGCCAAGGCTGACCCTCAGATTCCGAGTACTTACTTTAGTATTGCCAATTCTACTTTAGTGTTGCCAAGGCTGACCCTCAGATTCCCAGTGCTTCTTTCAGACTTGCAAGTGGTTGAGCTGAGCTGTCCCCTTAGCCATTTTCTCGCTCTTGCTTCTGCTTAGCCCCAGCCTGTGCTTCACCTTTCTGCTGGCTGAGTGGCTTAACTGCACTTGTAAATCTTAATTTGCTTAGCTTAATTAACCCTCAGCCCACCTCCAGACCGTGTGCTTCCGAAGCTTCCTTTTGCTCAGTGGCATCACTACCCAGAGCTACTGTGCTGCAATAGAGGGGGAGGGCGGGGAGGGGAAGGGAGGGAGGGAAGGGAGTGCTGGAAAGGAAAAGGGCTGAGGGGGTTTTTAAGAGGTTGCCCTGAAAGGTTCATAGATGGGCTTTGCTGAGAAGGATTCTTTGTTTGAAAGGTTTTTTGGAGAGGGCTTCTTGCTTTGAAGGGTTTTCCTGAGAGGGGTTTCTGAGGGAAAGGGTTTATTGAGAAGTTTTCTTTTTGAAGGGTTTTTCTGAGAGGGTGGAGACCAAGCACGAAGAGCTGATGGAGGAGCTTGAGGACATGATCACTCAGCTCTCCACAGCTAGGGAAGACCTGCGCAGGAGCTTTGAGCACACACTGGAGTCTGCAGTAAGGAGAGAATGCTGAGACTCACCCCCTCCTCCAAGGTAAAGGCTAAGCCTGCCACCCTGCCTGATGAAGAATTGTCTCAGTTGCAGGCCCTCATGAAAAAAGCTGAGGAGGCATAGGCTAAGCAAGCAAAGGCTCAGCCAGGTTAAGCACCAGCTGCTGTTTTTTACAGTGCTCACTTCCTGAGTTGGGTTCCTGAGTGTGGTTGAACCAATCCTGAACTAAGTATTTTTAGGGCTGAGGCATTTGTTGAGAAGCAAAATTAGTTTACATTGTTCAGTGGCAAAGCCACTCAGGAAGTGAGAGTCTGAGCAAGCTGCGTGTGAGAAAACAAGTCTGAGAGGGTGGGGTGTGTTTCCTTTTTCCTTGAGAGGGTGGGGTGTGTTTCCTTGTTGGCTGAGCTTGCGCTGAGTGATCGTTTGCGATCTCAGGCCCTGGCACAGCTGAGCTGGCAGCCCTGCAGTACCAGTTGAGGGACCTTGGGCTGAGCTACCCAGCCTTGGCCTCTTGGCTTTTAGTTCTTTTTTTTTTGGGGGGGGGGAGTGATTCGTTTGGGATCAGCTTTGAAAGGTTGCCCTTAAAAATTCTCAGTTTGAAGGATTTTCCTGAGAGGTTTTTTTTTAAGGCTTTTCCTGAGAGGTTCTTGGTTTGAAGGGTTTTTCTGAGATGGTTTTGAGAGAGGTTGCCCTGAAAGTCTCAGTTTGAAGGATTTTTCTGAGAGGGCTTCTTTTTTAAGGCTTTTCCTGAGAGGTTCTTGGTTTGAAGGGTTTTTCTGAGATGGTTTTTGAGAGAGGTTGCCTTGAAAGGTTCTTAGTTTGAAGGAATTTCCTGAGAGGGTTTCTTGGTTTGAAGGATTTGTTTGAGAGGGCTTGTTTTGAAAGTCCACCTGAGAGGTTCTTAGTTTGAAGGGTTTTCCTGAGAGTGGCTTGTGCTTCTAAGGTGCAAACCGTGTCAGTCCTCATCCTGAGCATCTTGCTCAGGAAGATGCTGAGAGGTTTGGCTGGCCAGGCGGGGGGGGGGGGGGGGGGGGGTGGGCGCTTACTTAGGTTTCTGTTTTTGAGGTCCATCAGCTGAGTTGGGTCCTGAGGCCCATCAGCTCAGCTTCATCAATGAAAGGCTGAGCATGATTGAGAGGCGCCCAACACACACTCAGCAGCTCTCAAGCTAAGTGCAAGTTTGGGAGCTAAAGGCCAAGGTGCCCCAAACCCTCATGGACTTCTGCCCTGAGGCCTTGAGAACTTAGTTAGGCTGAATTGAGTCTAAGTGCTCAGGGTGGGGGAGCATTCTTCAAGGACATGATGCTGAGACAGAGGGCCTCTCTTTTCAGCACCCCAGACTCTTGGCTAATTACAAAGGGTTGCACTTTGAGGGGCTTGTGCTGAGTTTGTTTGAGCTCAGGAGGTTGAGGCTGAGTGGGATGTGCTGCTGATGGCCAGCATCTTGAGTGCCCAAAGCAACTAGTTCTATCAACGGTTGCTCAGTGTATCTCTGCAGCAACTAAGAAATTAGAGCAAATGGCTAAGCCCTGTCTTCTTGAGGCCTTGGATGGGTCAGATGATGAGACCTTCATGGCTGAGCGCACCAAGATCCTCACCAACACAGCGAGGCCTGAGCTGAAGGAGCTGATGTTTGCTGCGAAGTCTTGGCAAGAAGGTTCTTAGCATCTCCTCAGTAAAACAGGGCTCCTTAAAAGATACATTTTGCCCATTTGAAACATGGCTTTTTCCACCAAAGTAAAGGGAAACCACCATTTACGAGGCAATGTTCAGGTGTATAATGTAAGGATCCCTGTAAAAAGAAATTTGATGGGATTGATGAAGGACATGACCTTGGAGCAGAGAATCTGTCAGCTGTCTCACATGAGCAATGCTGCACATCTGGTTTATGCTCAAAAAAGCAGGCTTAAAAGCCTTGCTCATATTGAGGTTTGATTTGAAACTATTGCCCCATCTGACCAGGCTCAGCTGGTTGCACTTCTTGAGGAACCACCCCATCTTGATGAATGGCTCACTGCGAAGGAGGGCCCTTAGCACGCACTGTTTGAGGCACCTTAGCATGCACTGGCTGAGAGCTGCATGGCCATCTAAGGTGGAAGGCCTGAAGCAAAGGAAGTTGCAATCTCAGCAACTGGCTGAGGACATGCCCTTAGTCAAGACCTGCAATTTGCAGGAGACTGAGTCTAAGCTGGGAAGAGTTTAAGAGGAGCACCCCTTTAAAACTGAAAGGTTGAGGCTTTGGTTTTCAGTTCTCAGCAACCCCCAAACTCATGTGGACACTAAAGAGGACCCAAAACAGTCAGACTAAAGGGCCAGGGCATCTCATGGCACCCCCCTTTGTGTGACAAAAGGCTGAGGCTTTGGTTTTCAGTTCTCAGCAACCCCCAAAACCATGTGGGCGCTACAGAGGACCCCAAAACAGTCAGACTAAAGGGGGTCAGGGCATCTCATGGGCACCCCCATTTGTGTGACTGATTGCCCTAGCTTTTTTTGTAAAGAAGTTATCTTAAATTTGATCCCAAACCCATGTGGACACTAAAGAGGACCCCAAAACAGTCAGACTAAAGGGGATCAGGGCATCCCATGGGCACCCCCCTTTGTGTGACTGATTGCCATCACTTTCTTAAATTTGACGGTTTAGGAACAGCTTGCAAAATGAAACTCCAAAATTTGTGGGGAAGCTTCGGGTGAGCCACTCTAACATTTGAGCTGGGGAGAGTTTAGGAGGAGCCCCCTTTTAAAACTACAAGGCTGAGGCTTTGGTTGTCAGTTCTCAGCAACCAAACCCATGTGAACACTAAAGAGGACCACAAAACAGTCAGACTAAAGGGGACCTGAGCAATGATGAAAAATGAATGGGAGGCCCTGAGACAAAGCAGCTGGTCGCAGCAGAGCAAGGAGCTGAGGCAACACCGCCCAAACTTAAGCCAATCCAGTTTGGCTTGGGTAAGTTCTCTGGCAGCCCTGAGCAAAACGCAGCAGCTAAGCCAGTTCTGAATGTGGCTAAGCTGCCCTGATGAAAAACACCTTCTAGAGCCAGCTAGAAGCAGATGCAGCCAAAGAAGCCTATGAGCAAAGGCTGGCTGAGCTTGAAGCTGAGGCTGGCACATTAAATCAGAGCAGGCAGCTAAGAGGAGGAGCTATTTGCAGGTGCTCACAGGGCCCAGCGTCCAATGGCCAGAACTGGCTTGGGGCCTAAGGCTTGAGCTCTCAGCCAACAAGAAAAAGTCCATAGCTGAGGACACCCAGCAAAGAAAAGCCATTGAGCAGCAGGAAGCAAAGCGCAAGGAGCAGCTGAGGCCAGGCTGGAGCAGATAAAGAACAAATCCTCGGAGGATCTCTCAGCCACAGCAAGCCACAAGATCAAATCGCTTGAGCACTCCATTTGCATTTGCCCGAAGTGCAGGTGGCAAGCTGGCTGTGCTGAGTGCGACCCCTGCAAGGCTCTGAGGTATTGGGTTGTTCAGGAGGCAACGGCTGCTAAGAAGATCCCGTTTTCAGGGCTGTGCTTGTTTTAGACGGACTGAGATTTGAGACTGAGACTGTGCAGGATGTGGCCAAGCTCCTGAGCAAGGTTAGTTCAGAACCAGCTTCCAGCTCAACAGGAGCTACCAAGGCTCAGTCCAGCCTGAGCCAGACAAGATCAAGGTAAAAAAAGGGGGGGTTCTTTTTTTTGGGGGGGGGGGAATTAATTGCTGCAATTGAGGACCCCAAAACAATCACAAGATCCTGAAGTACGGGAAAATTTGCTACAATAGAGTAGCCTATTAATAAAGGAGGTGTAGCGTGACAGTATTTGCATCTAAATCTCCGGAATCTTGACTTTGAATCTGGGAGATTGACAGGATTTAAGCTGTTTAGGTTTAAATCCGGGCTTGGATTCAAGATTATTGGCAACTTGAATGTGGAAGCTGGGAGATTCAAAATATTTTAAATATTGAAGTTTGAAGCTGGGCCTCAATTGAAATTGAGCCCTTGGAAATACACCTTCTGTACTGCTTAACTTCCAGAACGTTCTTGGACTTTTTTTTTTAACACTGCTTTTCCCAAGGCCTAAAAAAGAGCAAAAACACCGCAAATACCAGTGAAATCTTTGAAAAGGTAGGTCCCTGGGGGGGACACCATATGTATATATATACACATGAGCTAGTACCCCATTCTAGGCGCTAGGCCCGTTCACTGGAAAATTTGACTATGTTGCCTAACATTGTCTCCCGTTATACTTGCGTTAAAGTGCCACAACTAAAGGAGCGAGGCCTAAGTCTCACAATTGCAAGTTGACTCCTCTTACGTAGCTGTCAAGAAAACTTTAATGTTTTTGCCGCCTATAAACACAGTTCACAAATGCTATGAGAATGTTTCTGTACGACTCATATTGGGAAACACTGCGAGCCCTTTTTTCCTTTTTTGTGAGAAGCACATTTTGACGTGTACCACCCACCCCTGGCCCCAAACCTCTTGGCAGTGGAGAGGTTGGTTTCAGACTTTGATGATGAACTAGTTGCCTCGGTGTGAGAATTTGTGACCAGCCGCATGCGTTCGCAGGCACTCCTGGAAAATACGCCACCATGTGCATACGTTCCGATCATGGCCAGTTTGAGAAAGCCTACCAGGCCGGAGCTCAAAGCACAACAATTGTCACCTCCCCAAACTCATTTTTCATTTTTGGGGTTGCCATCAAAGGGTGCTGCCGCCTGGGTGGCTGCTTGTGATCATGTCCGAGGGAACACGAGGATGGGTTGAGGCAGCGCGGCGTGCGGACCAGGTGACCTTTGGCGCAACAGGTTAGGACGGCAGAATTCCAGCGCTGATTGCGGAAAGGCTTTGCAGGTCGGCGGGCCGCTTGGGGGTGATCGCTTGTGCGGGGTTCGGAGGCGGGCCTAGCAGCCCGTGAGGCTCTCTGCGCTCTGAATCGAGATGCCAAGTAGTTTGTCGGGCTTTGGTACGCGCGCACGGGCTCGCTTGCGAGCGGTTGTGGGACGCCATGTATCCGTTCTGGGATAGACCGGGCTGCGGTGAAAACTTGTATTTTGGGATGGGCACTGTGCCAACATCACAACAGCTTTTTGCAGGACTTTACTGACGTGATGTGTGTGAGAGCACCTTGAACAGGCTGAATGGGACCATGTTCTGTGAGTTTGGGTTTTAGGGCAGACTTAGTGAAGTTGGTTTGGTTGCACGACTTGGCGCTGTGCTTTCACAGTGCGTCAGAATGACCGCCTGATCATCCTCTGCAAGGGAGCCGCGCGGCTGCGCAACAGTTCGTTAAGTGGGACACTGTGACATGTTCAACCGGGTTGCACTCCTCGCGCGCTGTGGGAAAGGCATGAAGACGTCCGCTGAGGCATGCATGCTTCCTATCGGATCGCAAGAGCAGAACATCTACGGCCTTGATGAGAACGAGGAGCCATTCTTGCCTTGGCTTCGCAACATTGTTGTTGGCAGACATGCTGGCAAGCTGATTTGCAAACTTTGGCAGGTCTTGAAATCTATCTGCCATGATCTGAAGGAAAAAGGCCAGGGGTTTTGCAGCAGGTGTTTGTGACGCTCCTCACATCAAAGATTCCTGCCCTACCTGCTGCCTTGCCTGCCAGTGCCAGTGGCATATTTGAGCCAGCATGGGATCAGATCAGCGGTCAGGTCGAATCGCATGGGGTTTGGGGGCTGGCACGAAGACGGTCTTCCTGCAGAAGGCCAGCTCATCCAGCCCATCCAGCGCCTCTGAATCTTCCGATTTTCCTCGAGGCTTTTGGCTACGACAAGGCTCGCACCATGGCTCTTGACAGGCTGGCCAGCCGTTCACGGATTCACGGACTCAGGCTCTGCCGATGCCGCCCCCGTTGGCCTTTGCTGAAACTAGCACGGGAGGCTTTTCATGTTTGGTCGCAAGCTCAGTGAAGTGGTGTCAGCTCATTTCCATGCATGTTGCCTTGCAATAAGGCGGACTACATTAAATTCACCAACCAAGTGAAGATGGGCAGGCGTGCGGAGCGCGTCAATCTCGATTGCTTGAAAGCCTTGGGACATGCGGAAGTGCTCCCTCGTGCTTTTGTTGCAATTCCTCGGCCTGCCCCAAACCTGCAGTCCCGAGATGACGGCCAAGCACTCAGTCGCCTAGCGTTAGGAACGTCTATCGACAGCTGATACTGGCCATGTTTCATTATGGGAAAGCAAGACCGCGAGGTGAAAAACTATTATGACACGGGCCTCACTGTCCACGGCCGAGTTTTGCCAAAAAAGCGCGAACGCACCATCTAGGCGCTTGATTGCTTATGCACTGACTGGGACCGTAGACCGAAGGTGTCGGTGGTCATGGCTACGGTGGTAAACCAGGCCCTCGGCTTTCCGAGTCGGAGCACTCGTGGCTTTCCTTTTGCCGCGAGCGCGAGGGTCTCTCGCTCCTCACCGACGGAGACGGCCTGGCGATGTTGCGAGACGCCAGTATCGGCCGGCGCCTGATGGGCGAAACTGGGCTGGGAGCAGTTTCAAGCTCTGTCTCGAGTATGACTGCTGAGGTCCGATCTGGATTTAGTTCACAGGGCTTGTACATTTGTTTTGGACGCCTTTGGAGTGTTGCTATCAAGCTTGCCTTAAGGACCTTATTTTTAAATCACATTGAACTCCCGATTCTGAGAATCCGGAGATCTCTTGCGACAAGTGGCGAGAGAGAGAGAGAGAGAGACTCAGGCCACATCATCTCCAAGCTGAACCAGGCCATGGACAACTATTTGGCTTGTCTTCTCAACATCTTCGCGTACAGCAGCGTCAGAGTGCCGTCTGATCCAGGTGAGCACCGTCGATCAGTACACAAGCACGTGGCTTGCCTGAAAAAAGGGAGACGCTGGGAATCTGCTACCACTTGTTGCTGCAGGAAAAGTGTCTACAACTTCTTCATTGGAGCAGCGAGCTCAGCACCAAAGAGTCATGAGCACTCCTTCCCATCGCTTTGGGCAGGATGGAGCCAATCGCCTGAACGGCGGCGTCGAGCTGACCATGCACTTGATGGAAGGCATTTGTTGTGTGACATGTGTGTTCAAACGAAGGCTTCGGCAAGAAGCCACGGCTTCTCCTGGTAGGTGTGCTACAGCAACCTGAAACGTTGTGCGATACTCTCACAGACCCCCCTCGTTCACCTGGTGGCCTTCTTTCTTTTTTTTTTGCCTAGCTGGCACATCCTTCGCCCAACCCCAGCGTTCTTTGCGACCTATTATCCGTTGTCAGAGGGGCTGAATGGGTAGACCAGTTGCATCAGTCTTCTGGGCCATCAGCTCATCCAGGGTCTCGCTGGTGGCGAGCGCAGGCGTCCCCTCGCAATCCCAGACCACGGTATTTGTATTCAACAATCAAGCCGCAGCCCCAGAGTTCTTCGAGAAAGCCAGCAAGGCAGAGGAAAAGGCCCGACGGGCAGAAGAGTCACGGTTCTTGGGTTTCACATTTGGCGATGAATTTTAATGTAAAAGCCACCTCAAAATTAATTAATGAACATGAATCCACCGAATTCTGATGTCCAACCAAAGCAATTCCCCAATTCAAACTCATACAATGTCTTTGCGTTGAAGCAGAGGCGCCTTTTTATGCCAGCTCGATAGACGCTTGGCAAGCTGGCCCACGGCGCGGAATCAAAGCTGAGCTCATGCGGAGGCGGCCTTCCGAGCAAACAAAAACTAATGTGGAGGCCAGAAGCACACGCATGCGGACGGACACTTTGTTTTGCAAGTGGCTTGCGTGCTCACGCGAAATTCGCAATTCGCCGCCTTCCGGGAGAAGTGCAAGCGAGCATGCAGGCAGCACGCAGACACGCCAGCATGCAAGCAAGCATACAAGCAAGGGCGCAAGTACGCAAGCATGCAAGCAAGCGATTAGGCAAGGAGCATGCAAGCAAGCACATCGAGTTCGTTTGACGTTCTTCCTCACGCTGAGGAAGGAACGTTGATGGGGCAATAGTGGATACCGTTTGCAAAGCTCCAAAGATGACCCCGATTCCGAGGTTTGGGCTATTGAGGACAACCTCGTGGCAAGCAACGAGAAAGAGCATGCGTGAAGCCCAGACTTTCAATGCACAGAACTGCGACCGATGTGGACGCACCAAGGTGCTTTTCAACTCCCAGTTCTACACCATTGTTGGCACCCACAAAAGCGTTTGCATTTGCAACTAGGCTGAGTGTTCAGTCCTGTGTTGCGGCTCTTTGAGCACTCTTTGAGGTGAGACTGAGCAGGACTTGAGAGAAATTTTGACCTACCTGAGTGTCCGCGGCTCATTCGAGCAGTTGAAGCTTGAAACTTGCCACCGCACTCGGCGGAATCTCGGTTTGTTTCCTCGCCCAGGAGCGGACCATCAAGTTTGTGGCGGGAAAGGTTAAGCCAGGCCGGACATTCCAGACATTTGGTGGCTCTAAATTAAACGGGGGGGGGGGGGCAAACCGCAGGTTTTGGTCCATGTTTCCACTTACCAGGTACCGGTCTTTTGAGCCATTTGGAGAGGGATCCTGGAAAAGGAATGACGCACCAAAGAGGCAATCTGAGATCTGAGATTACGCCAGGAATACACATGGTGATTGTTCGCGGCCTGAAAACCAACCTTCCCCCCGTGATTGGGGACATCGAGCCCATCCGCAGTTCCAAGGACAGTGAAGCTGGCTTTGGGCTTGGAATGTGCTGACATGTGCTGACTCAACTACAGCTCTGGAATACGAGCTGGCAGCTTCCTTTTGCTTGCCAGGAGATGGCATTTTTGAGGGATGTTCTCGGGAGCTTTGCAGCTGGCTGCGAGTCACGAGTGCCGCTGTATGGTTGCTCTGCGATTCTTGGCTGACTTCGACCTTAACCCTGTCTTCAAATTTGCCTCAATCTTTTTCTTTTTTCCTTCTATCTCTTTTTCTTGTTCTCTTTCTCTCTCTCTCTCTCTCTCTCTCTTTGCGACCCGGCGCAGGTTTGAGTACATCCAATACTTGCACATTTTCCTTGAGCAGATGCCTGAAGGACCTCCAGGGCGAAACAACCAAAAAAACACACCGATGTTGACGTTGGTTCGACGGCCGAGAAACGGGGCATCACCTTGTAGCCACTTTCCGACTTTCCTTTTCAAGCTGGGAAGGGGACTAAGGGGATTTTAGGCACTTGACTTTTCAAGCGGGAAAGGGGACTTCTGCACAAGATTTGGTTGACATTTGTTCTTTGCATCCTTACTGCAGCATGCAAAGAGTGGCCTGGGATGCTGCACTGGATGTGGATTCAGCGCTTGCAGGCAAGAAGTATCAGTACATCTGTGGAAGAACTGACATCCAGGCTGCTCATATGATGGGCTTCCAGCAGCCGGAGGGCAAGTGTGTGCTCTTCATCAACGAAGCTTGGCTACGAAAAAGCCGCGGCAGTCTGATTGCAACCGCCGGGTGACTGAGATGCGATAGTTACATGTTTCTCATGCTTTGTGCGCTCTGGCGATTGCCGTTTTTTGCAACCGCTTGCCGTTTTTTGGAAGTCTGTGCTTTTCTTAATTGCTGTGATGCGATCAATGTATGATCAGCAGTCGCTGTGTTAATTGTTTTGTGTTCCTTGGCATGCTGCCGAACTCTGTCTTGTGTTCAGTTCAATTTCAGTTTCAGCCCTTTTTGGGCACATCGTCGTCCTTCCCGTAGCAATGCACGAGTTGAGGATGTCTACGGCGTGAATTCGCTCGGAGAGAGTCTTCGCTTCGTTTTGAGTGGCTTCGGTGGTCGCCAAGTGCTGGTGCTCATTTGGCATCCATCTGTGCTGAAGGCCAGCGCGGCGTATGGGTTGGGAACAAAGCCACGGCGGTCGTGACGCGCAGGTCTTGGACAACTTTCATTTGCACCGGCCACCCATGGTATGGCCTTCACTCGGACCGACGCTGGCAAAGTGTCCTCGCCAGCAAATGGCGTTTGGGGCACCTTGGGACTTGTTGGGTGCTTGGGCGCTTGGGTGACCTTGAGGTTCTACGTGCGCAAGGAGAGCGATGCGTTTTTTGCAGACTGGGAGGGTGATGGACGAGTGACGCAGCGCCTTGGGCAAATCTCACGTTTGCTTCTTTGGTTCTTTCGTTTCTCGCCCCAAACTGCGGGTGAGGGGATGACAATAGAGCAAGTATATCAGTCCCAAGTGATGCTTGGCCACTTCAAGCTGCATGTGAGGCGAGTGAAACATCATCTCGAAATCGGCACCCCGCTGGTGATGGTGAACTTGATGCCGTCTCAGGATAATTCTTTCTTGGCTCGGGATATATACATACTTTGCAGTGTCAGGGTAGATGGCAATTGGTCAAAAAGCCCAAAGCACTGCTGGATCTTTTGCTTTCTGGGGACGCCCAGCTTTGCCAACCATGATATGGGAAGGAATGCAATTACATCCAGCTGGACACCCGTATCAAGGTGAAGGACTAAATGTGACTTGGCTGACACACGGAGTTCCATCCCATGTGTCATTCCTTGCGACTTAGGACTTTTGCTTCCATGCCAAACTGAGTGGTTTGGCATGAGCCGAGGCTGGCATTTGGCTGTGTCAAAAGTGTTCCTTGTCCCCCCAACATGACAAAACACATCATGCTGATCTTTGTTATCATCCAAGGTGGTACCCATCCGACCCCAATTTTGACACACTCCCATGTGCTCTGGTACGGTGGTGCGTTTTCCAGTCACGGGCGCTCCGTGCTGTGACATTTAACTTAGACCCAAGTGCCAGAATGGGCCTGTTGTTGGCCTATTTGCTGGCTGATGCAACCAGCTTCCAAGCAACAGTATTTGGAAAGCGGTTGGATAGATTGCGTGATTATAACGACCGTGTCAGAGCTCGACAAGCTAGCAAGCCTTTTTGTTCTTTTCACGGACTGCATGAGATGCGTGGTTTGCACGTTGCAGAGGAACCGTGATCGACGTGCCGGAGCGAATGGCATGAAAGCTTTCCCAGCTAGTGCTTGGGCGCAAGGCAGACCCAACGGGACACAGTAAAGCACTGCATACCTTCAGCAAGGGGCCTCTTAAGGTCTTCACACTTCTTTCGATTGAGCTGAACCAAACCATGTGGAGCAACCCAGAAATGCGGATGCTCTGACCTGGCCATGCCTGGAATGGATCCACCCGGGTGGCGTGCCCAGCGATTAGTTTCTTGATGGTCGACCGAGTTCTATCACAAGTCAAGGCCCGAGCGATTGCCAACGATGCTTCTTTCTCATGAAGTGTTGCCCTTCTTGTGTTGTTGGAACTGCCTCAAGAGCAAGGACCCATCAGCATTCACAGTATGATAGCATGCGGTTTCTTTTTGGGGGGGTACAACTCAGGTTGGATTTGCAACCTGAGTGGCAGTGGCAAGGAGTGTTCTCGACGGTCGGATTGTGGAGGGTGCTGCTTTTTCCAAGTGTTTTCTTTCAGCAAATGTGCTTTGAACCGCTTTGGTCCATCCATTGAGGAGACGAGGACATATCTTCTTCTCTGTCACCTCTGCACGAAAAGGCCTGGCATCTCGCCAAATGCATTGAATGGCTCTCTTGTCTCAGGTCTTGAGATACTTGGGTGAGGAGTCGTGCCCGCGAGATTGCTGGAAACGCTTTTGTTCACTTACTCCTTCCGCGACAGATCCAGCGACTTCAAGACGGGGTTGGATCAGCGCCCGCCTCAAACATGTCCGGTCGGGACGCCACTGTGCATTTCGGACTATCTCGCGCGCGCACGCGCGTGCAGGGAGCCGCTTAGGCAAGCAATGTCGTGCGATGGCTTTGCCTGCTGACGTGGTCCCTTTTTTACGATGGTCTTGTCTTGGGGATTAGGCACGTGGCTTGGCTTATATGACCTATTGGAAAGACGAGCCCGTCAGCCGCTGTGAAAGGACAACGTACATCCCTGGCCTGAAAAGCTTGGCCCATCCGCGCGCTGAGAGACAACCGGCGCACCAGCCTCGTGAACCTCCTGACCAGAGCCATCTAGTCCTGCAGCACAGTACATTCGCAGTGTGACCGCCTCAGCAAAAGCACTATTTGTACTGTTCGTAGCCAGAAGCATTGCCCCACGGAGTATTTGACCCAGCGTGGAACCTACCAGCCTGGTTGGAAAGAGGCGCCCAATCACATCTCAGCGCTGCTGTCGAGAATACCTGCTCCATATCCATGTGCCTGCGCAGACTGCCGCTGCCAGTCGCAGGATTTTTCTTGGAAACATGGTCATACAATGCCTGGCATTTGCCAACACCCAGACACTTCTGCAAAAGCAGATCCAAAGGCAGACACCAGAAGCAACCTCTCCAGCGTCCTTATGCCAACCAGTCAGAGGATCAGAGGCTCCATGGTGCATCCTCGTGGTTTTCCTTTTGGTTTCCCTTTAAAACCTTGATGCAACATCAGACACCCTCATTTGACATTTGGGAAGATCTCCATTCTGACACAAATCCGATCTCAAGAGAGTTCCTTGCTTGCCACAAAGCCAGTACAGTAGACATGAAGCGGAGAAGGATGGCGCGTTGGGCCGGACATGCGCTTGAGGTCACAGCTGATGGAGACTTGGCTGTTGCCTTGGATACCACTGCCGCGCGAAAAGACAACAATTTTGTGGACATCAGGTCAGACCTCGCACGAGCAGAGTTGCCGGTCGAGGGCTCAAGCTTGAAGGCTGTGAAATGTCACAATTCTCCTGAAATTCAAAAAGCTATGCGTCAGGGCGTTGCTACGAATAGTTCAATTCTGCCACTTGAAGCATGTTGCAGATGCTGACACCATCAATCAAAACAAATGCACGCACAGGCACCAAACCGTGACGCGTCTTTTTGGCCTCGGTCTCCTTTGAATCGAGGTGTCTGACCACGTGCCCGTGGAGTTGAAGACTGTACGGCTAAAACCAGGACACTGGCAGTTGAAGGGGTGTGGCTCAAAATTCAAGAGCTAGACTTATGCAGGGCTTGGTCTTTGTTTCCATTTACCAGGATGTCCAACACGGGTACCACTTTTTTGAGCCACAGCCGGAGCAGTCAATGCAGAGTTTTCTTGGGCGTAACAAAGAAGCCTCCGTCAGGGGACACCAACGGCGACAGCCCGTTGAGGATTGCCATTCGAAAGGTTGTGCAGCTGACAAGTGGACTTGCCTTGAGAATTTGCATTTGCAGTGTGACAAGTATGACGTTTGCAGGTGTCGAGAGCAGACAAGCTATGGTGGATCTGAGGCGAATGTGTTGTCGCGGACGTGACATTCAACGTGCATGAAATCTTGATTGCTCCAAGGCAGTGCATTGTGCCGTGCTGGCTCAAGCCTTTTGTGCCTTCATTCTCATTGAGTCTCCAGCCGTCAATCGGTGTCAGCCTCGGCTTTCTGACTGATGTGGTGAATCGTTTCTGTGTGCAAGGTGCACTCGTCCACCATGCCCCATGTGGAGGACCTACCATGCACATGGGAGACTTGTGCCCGATGCGTTTTGGCCGCTGGAAAGCGCATGTCCAGCATGTTGGCCTTGTTTTGGCAGCAGCAGTCAGTTCAAGGTCACATAAGTAAAATCAGGGCATTCAAAACTTGCAAGAAGAATGCAGCAGCAACAGTTGCCCCCAAAAAAACAATTTGGGATGCTTGCAGAAGGGCTGGCTGATTGGTTGACAAACATTCTTGTTCATAGAAGCCGAGCATTCTGCGAGAGAAGCTTGCCAAAATCGGCTTGTTGTTTCGTTCGTGCCTGCAAATAAGCAAGCTGTGCACACCCAATCACTAAACTGGCCTGGCCAGAACAAATCAGGTGGAGGGCGTTCCGTTCATAGGTACATACCCCCACAAAAATGTGCTAACGACGTGCTCCAACGAAAGGTGCAAGAAGCCTTGTGGCAGGCTTTGGACCTTCGTAAGTTTGGCATTTTCCGCCATGGAGAGCGCGCTGCTGTGTTTGGGTGGCTTCCTGGCGGGCTGCTGCTGTGCCAGCCAGGGCGGTGCTAGTCGCGCTGGCCGCAGTTCTGCTATCTCGGCAGCGAAGAGGGGCCGGGAGCTGCGCGGTGTGCAGGGCTCCACGCCGAAATCCGGCGGTGCCTCCCGGAGCTCGAGCAGCAAAAACGAGGGGATGCTGGAGCGGGCCCGCTCGGCCCTGGCGACCTTCAGTGGGATCGGCGGGATTCAGCAGGAGGCCTCCGGCCGGAGCTTGCTGCAAACGCGGCAGGAGAACTGGCGGGGTCGGATTTGGTCCCTCAAACTGGGCCCCGGAGCTTCCACCTCCGTAGAGGCGCGATTTTGCGATGACGGCGCGCACTGGATTGTGACCATGAAGGACCGCGGACCCAGTTTGGATGTGAAGGCGGTTCTTCTGACCGAGGATGGCTCCCATGAACTTGAGCATGACTGGGGCCAGAGCTTTCACGGCCAAACCCCGCTGGTCCAAGGAACTGCGGTGTTGCAGCTGCACTTCCGCAACCAGCACGCAAGCTTTTCCGAGAGAAATCTTGAGGTCAAGATGTTCCTTTTCCGGGCTGGGGCACGGATTGGCGAGCACTCATTTGTGAAAACCGCCATGCTTTCCTGGGCGACTGAGCTGGTGCACAGCACTTTCTTGACCCGTGACGTGAAGCTCAAAGCCGCGCACCTGAACGTTGTGGAGATTGAACGCGTTATGCATGACCAGCTCTGGGACCGCTATGTTAAAACACGAAAGGAGATTATGATGCAGTTGTCCAGAGAATCACAGGAGCACTTCAGCCACGCAGCAACCCATGCAGAAATGCTGACTAATGAACATGTACCTCTGCCATTGTCAAAAGCTGCAAACGAGCATTGGCTTCTTCACGGCACTTCAGCGTCTAACATCATGGCCATTTTTGAAGATGGTTTTGATGATAATCATCAACTAACTCACGGATCTGCCTTTGGAGCTGGAATCTATTTCACTGAATGCTCTTCAAAGGCTGACATGTATGCTTCGCCTGCGGAACATACTGATGTACATGATCATGGTGGCCTTTGCTGCATGTTGCTATGCCGCGTCACTCTAGGTCGCGCGCGCAAGCTAGACTCCGAGTTCCATATTGATACCGCCAAGTTGAAAGCCGACATGCAAACTGGGCAATATCATTCTGTACTTGCTGACCGCCAACGTCTCTTTGCGTCCTACCGAGAATTTGTTACACCAGCTTCCCAGACGTACCCAGAGTTTCTGATATGGTATGAACGTCAGAACAAGTCTGGTGTGCAACTTTGGAAGGAGAAGCAGTGGGGCGGAGATTTGTTCTGAGATAGAGCTGTGAAGTTTTCTGACGTTCCGGAGGAACATGGCACAAAAATTGGTCCGACATTTTCAGGGCTGCTTCATTTTCACCAAGCTTGATCCGTCTGAAGGCACTCCACTCCGCTTGCAAAGGTCTGGGCGCATGCAGAAGCTTGTGGCTGGTTGCTGAGGCTCGGAGCGCGACGCCAGTGCACAGCCCTGAGCGCGTTTTGCCGGTCCCATTTTGCCCAACCTGCCGTTTGCGCTTTTGCGAGGCCCAACCTTCGGCAGAGCTACCTGCCCCAGTGCCTGGCTCAGTTCACGCGAGGTGCAGCTTTCATGAAGACATTGCCAGGCAGGCGCACGTGCCTTGCCACTATGCCCAGAAGCTCAAGCAGCAGTTGCAAGTGAAGCAACAGATGGCCCGCCCACAAGCTATATTTGTATTTGTGAGAGTTGCTTTTGGCTCTGGTGTAGGTGAGGCAAATGGAGCCTTTTCGCAAGGTCAAAGGACAGTGGGTTCTGGGCTGAGTCGTAGCTTTGACGTGCTTGCACATGTTTCTGTGTGAGGGCTAAAGACTCTTGTTAGCTTGATCTTTTTCTCGGACATGGTGTCCAGGTCGACTACTGGAGCGAGTACCACCAGCGCCATGAGCAAAATATTCTATCAAGTTTTCATGTCATTTTCCCTTTGAGGGATCCGGTACCCGCAATTTCCGTAGCTGGTGAGGTGCTGGATTCCAGCGTCCATTCTGGATGTGGATCCAGAGTCCGCGGCTGATTCTCTCCTTTTTTTTTTTTACAAGGTGCCAGAACAAGTCCAGTCAGGGCTCCACTTTTTGACTACCCCAAGGTAGACTTAAACCTAGCGGTGGTTCATGTCCCCAAAGGGGGAACCCCTGGGTTTAAGTCTACCTGGGGCAGTCGAAAAGTTGTAAAATGAGTCCAGTCACTTCATTTGAGCAAGCCCGCTCTCAGTGTATCCACTGTTCTGACGCGTGGGCAAGGTCTGGTGGAGTCGTGCTGGATGTCAAGCCAAGCACAGCCAGCATCCTGACTTCGCCTGAGAGACTGTCAGGCCTAGCTCGCTGAAGCGTTGGCATTGATGCAACCACGAAGGGATGGCACCCATCCATGCGTAAAGATCTTGTCTAATATATCGCTTGATGCTGCTGCTTCTGCTGCTTCTGCTGCTGCTGCTGCTGCTGCTGCTGCTGCTTCTGCTGCTGCTGCTGCTGCTGCTGCTGCTGCTGCTGCTGCTGCTGCTGCTGCTGCTGCTGCTGCTGCTGCTGCTGCTTGATGATGCTGGTGGGTGTGGTGGTGGAGATGATGCTGACGATGATGATGATGATGGTGGAGGTGGTGGTGGCGGTGAACGGGAACCGAACAAATCCGTGCGTCGGGAGATCTGTCGAGGGATTCCTTGCATAAATCAAGGCACTGGCGCAGAAGCTGACAGCCTGCTTGGCCTATCTCTGGGCACGAAGGGATCATTCGATCATTCCGCATGCGGCCGACGCCAGAGGTCCGGCCACGGAAGGCTAGGATGACGCTGATGACCATGAGGGTGACCATCGCCATTCAGATGGCTGTGGGTCGAAACCAAAGGTACCCCGGGTGAACATCGAAATAGGTGGAAAGCAAATGGATGTTCATCCACCCCAAAATGGAGCCTTCTGCCCCATGGCCAGATGACAGCCACGAGTGCCTCTTGCTAAGAGCCTGAGGCTCTTCGCCTGCATGACCAGTGGAAGGTCCGATGCCGGCGGATGCCGAGCCCAGAGCAAGTGTCGGCGGTTCACCATTTGCTGGCCAACGTGCAGCTGGAGGAGCAGGCAGAGAGGCCGGGAATGCGCCCGATCTGAGCGGCAAAAGATCTTTTTCGAGTCAGGTTCTTTCGGGAAGTTGGCTATGGCAAGGGCGATGTGAGTTCTTCCCCCAGAGCCACTCGACTCTGGCCGGACAGCTACCGATCTCGTTTTCGCTGAGTCCAGAGCGCTGAAGAAGTGACGGTGCTGGGGGAGAAGGTGAACAACTTGGTTGGCCTGCTTGGATGCCAGGTTCACTTAAAGGCGCGGGGGATCTTCCATGCATGGTCATTTTTGGGAGGACAGTACCCCCTTTTTGGGCTTGGTTTGAAAGGGAGACCAAAAAGACTCCGAAGCCCAGTTTGGGGGCTCTGATTTGGGAAGAATAGATGTTTCTGGCCAGGTGAAGCTACAGGCACAGAATGGCTTGTCGTGCGGAGCTGAGCATAGAGCGAAGTGGCCATTCGTTCCACGATGCGGCCGGTAAACCCAGCAGGTTCGATGACTTCCGATCGATCTTCGCAGACATCGCTCACCTTCAGCAAGACATGTCTGTGCAGGCTGGGCTGCTCCTACCGGTTCACGGCTCTATGTGCGCATACCCGGGGCTTTTGCAGGCCTTGCAAAAGGACATAGCAGAGACAGCTGTCTCGGGGACGCCTGACTCCAAGTATGAGATGTGTGGGGAGCTCAAGAGTTTCACCCACCAAGCGACCAGGCGACCAATCAGCCAACCAACCAACCGGCAAGTGCAGACCTTGCCGAGTCTATGGCTGTTTTGTCCCATTGGGCCTTAGGTGAGACACTGGGAAAGGGCACCTATGGCGAGGTCATCAAGGCGCGCGACCGACAAACCAGGCGCACGGGAGGGGGGGGGGGGGGGGGGCGAAGCTGGGTCTCCGACTCCCACTCTGTTGATGTGGAGGGGAGGCCTCATGTTTGTTCCTCGCTTTTGCGCTTGCCCACGTTTGACGTGGACATCCGAGCCCAGGCTGATTTGAAGCAGGAAGCGTCTAGCCATGTCTAGCACAGCATCCACACAGAGCAGACAAGTTTGCTGGTAGTCTATGCTGCCTTCAAAGACAACGCTGCGAAGAATATTGGAGTTGGCGTGGCATTTCGGGGGTTTGCGTTCGCTTCGCTCGGGAGCCACGGAAGGGACAATTTGCGAGGCAAGTGCGAGCTATCAAGGTCATTAACAAAGAGAAGGCGCGGCCTGACCCTTGAAGATATCAATGCCCAGCTTTTCTCTTGCAGACTTCACCTACACCTCCATAGGTCCTTGCAAATATGCTAGGTGCATGGAGACATGGAGTTTCTGAAGCAAGAAATCCAAAACCTGATCCAGTTGGACCATCCTCACGTGGGAGGCTTAGAGCATCGCCCGGCACCTGGCATGCGCTAGGGAGCACCTTCGATCGCATCCAGGTGCTCAAGCTTCTGGAGTTCTACAACAGCCATGATCGTGTCTTCCTTGTGACGCTGGCCCCGGTTTGGGGGAAGGGGCATCCTTAAAATTGACCTTTGCTCAGGTGGAGGACATGGGCTGCCTTGCTCTTTTTTTTTTTTTCTTTCTGAGAGCTAGAGGGGTTCTAGCTTCTAATAAGGAGGGGAACGTGATTTGCAAGATTGACGGCTGGGTGCTAGGGGGCGTGCAGTTGGGGTGCTGGCGCAGATGCTGTTAGGGTGCGCTGTTTGGGGAGCTGTTTGTGGTGCTGGTGACGGTGCGGGCGCATTTTTTGCGAGATAGACGGACGGGTGCTAGGAGGCATGCAGGTGACGGTGCAGGCGCAGTTTTGCAAGATTGTCTGTAGGGTGCCATAGGGCGCGCATGTTTGGCGAGATTGACGGCCGTGTGCTGTGGGGGATGCTGTTTGCTGCGATTTTCGGGGGGTGCTGTTAGAGGTGTGCAATCAGCTGCCTGTTTTTCGCCATCTGGTGTCTATGCTGGTGTATTTTTTTTTTCTTCTTGCGTCGCAAGATTGACGGCCAGGTCACCGACTACTGCGCCCGCGGCGAGCTGCACAAGCACATCAGCCGCAGCCCTTGGCGCCAAATCGCCGCTTTGGGGTAAGTGGAGCCTCTCACGTTTCGAGGTGATGCCAACAAGTCCAGAAAGCCCATCCCACAGGCCGGAAGGTCCGTCGGTTTTCCCGTTTTTCCGCGTGCCCTTTGTTCAACTGCCGTTTCTTTTTCCGGAAGCACAGCTGTGCCCAGGTTTGGATCGCCCATGTGATGAAGCAGGTGCATTCCTCACGGCAAAGCATTTCTTATAACTCCTCTTGGCTCGTCGAGACCTACTCTGGTGAACTCGAGCTGGGAAGTCTGCAGAAGATATTTGAAACTTGTTGCTCAGGTGCTTTCTGCTATCACTCACATCCATGCCAATGGAATCATACACTTGGACATCAAGTCGCAAAATATCATGTGCGGCGCTTAGCTCCACGACTCGCGTTTTGAGGGCTCAATGACAAAGGGCTGCACTGCTTTGACAGGCTCATGCCGGCCCTGGAGACCAAAGTGCAGTTCGTCCAAGCTGATCACCAGGAGGGCATGCTGGTTGCTTGCTCCGGGTTGCTGGATCCACTGGGCCAAAGATAGCTAACCATTAGTTTGGACTGAGGAAGAGCATGTATTTGGAAGGAAGCGATGCTTTCATGCTGGCACCCTTCTGCATGCATTTTGAAGGGAGGATGTACGATTGGAACTAGATGTGTGAGATGCTGGCTGCCAATTTCGGGGAGCAACAACTTGTGAGACACGCAGGCGGTTTGCTCCAACAATATTTTCAAGGAGACTCTTGGCTGCAACTAACATGGGCTGCGCTTGAAACGACACCTTGCTACTCTCATTTCTGGCATGCAGACTTAGATGCACTGCATTTGTTTCCACGTGAGGCTGCCGCACGTCATGGTGATTGATCTGGGTGTGGTGCGGGCCAAAGTCGCCCTTCGCTTGGGCATTCTGCACGTACCAAGGCAACCATCTTTCAGCCAGGGAATTTCAAGCGCGGCACCCCGATGGGGACACCGTCCACCATGGCGCCAGCACCTTACGAGGGACTTCAGTCGCGTCAAAGGATCAATGGATTCGAGAAGCCGTGGCTCTTTGGCGTTAGTATGCTGGCAGGCCGGAAATTTGGCGCGGAGAGATAACGCCAAAGGCCATTCAACATTGACGTCTCACCTTGTGAGTTTATATGACGCAGATAAGGGAGCATGGATGTCAAGCCCGCTTGCTTGGCTCTGAGAACTGATGCAGCAGATGTTGCGAGGCTGACGTCTTCAGCTGCGGTTGCGTGCTGTTTGAAATGTTGAGTGAAGGGCTCAGGAGTCTAGCCCATGCCTCTTTAGTTCCTCTGTAGATGGAGTACAATGCGTGAGCTGTTGGTTTCCAGGCTTTCAGATGCCGTGGGACTTCAAGTATCGCTGGCGGCCAAGATGCACCTTGCTCATTCTGCGAGTGCAGCGCGGGGCATTTAGGTGGGAACAAGCAGGACGCGCGGCAGTTCTGGGATGCCAGGCCGAAGCCGCACATGGCGCGGTCCCAAAATGCCCCAATCCTTCCTATGGGAGCCTGCACGGGTGGGCTGAGGAGCGCGTGCTCCAAGCGCCTGCTGATGCACAGACCATGATTCTCAAGATGTTGGAGCAGGCCGGCTCCAAAGAAACGCACCAGCTTGATGGGACATGAGCGAGCAAACAGACATTCCTGGATGATAGATTCTTCTTGCTTTTGTGACTTAACCAATATGTGTAAGAATATGTGTATGTTTTTCTGAGGGGGTCCCCCCGCTTGTTGGGGTTTCTTTGAAGGGAAGCCAGAAGGGAACCGTTTCCCAGTCTGGCGAGTCAAGACTCGCGAGGATCGGGCGACGAGACTCAGTGCTGCAGATGCTCTTCGAGAGCCTTTTGTGCAGTTGGCTGTGGCCTCGGATGGCCACGGATCTGACAACCGTAAGGGCTACGGTGTAGGTTCTTGCCAATCTGGGGCTTAGATGAGTGGCTCTGAGAGTTGCATTTCCTAACTGCGGGCCACCATGGTGCAACTGGAGGCCTCTGATGGTATCCCGGTCACGAAGATGGACTGACGAGTGCTTTGAAGGGCATTGGATTCTATTTGAGAGAAAGGCCAAAAACTCTCTCATCCAGAGAGATGTCTTCGGTGATTTTGCTCAGTTGTATGGGTGTTTCTGGTGCAAGCGTGGCATGGGTCTGGGATGTGGTGGGTTCTCTTGAGTGGCTGACTGTGGTCTAAACGCGTGGACCGAGCCCCAGGAGAAAGGCCTGAACTTGGTCATCCGCTTGGTCACCACCTGTGATCGGGACGTGTCTTGGCGAAAAAGATCTTTGTTGGTCTTTGAGGTTTTGGCTACTGAGGCCTTTTACAAGCTCATCTGCCTGAAGATCGCTCAGGAGACACACATAGACACCAGGAAGTGAGCCTTCGCCAGCTCGCAGAAGGCCAAACGTTTTTTTTTAGCAAGCGGGCGCAGTCCGCAGGTTGGACATGTCGACTTGATGTGTCCAGGAGTGGCCTCCGAATGAGATGCCGTCCTTCAAAGGGGTTTTCAATGAGCTGGGCTCTGAGTTGGCGTAGCATCGTGCAGAGGAGACATTTTCCGTGTGCCTCAATCGGCGGGTTGGCCGTGGGGGCAACACCAATGGTACCATGTTGGGGTAGGTGCACCATCCATTTTAGTCTATTTTAGTGGGGATGGGGATGTTCACTGGGGGTACGGGGTTTTGACCCATAGCCATTTGTGTCCTGTGGGCAGACAGTGCTAAGGTTTGACGATGAGGGTACTGGCATGCTGCAAGAGTCAGCCTTGGCAGAGACCTAAGATTCAGCTTTCTGGTGATGTGAGACGTTCATAGCGCAAGTCCTGGCCTGTTTGGACCACCCTCACCGTATTTCCACCAAACAGAGACTGCTTACCACCAAGTTTCGCTGGGGGCACACGTATGGGTGTACCTTTTTTTGGGGACCCCCCCCAAAGAATGGCGGTGTTCCTCTCAATTGTTTGTTCAAGCGCCCCAACAAGGGTACCCTGAGAAAAAAATCGGACGCTCCAACCTTCAGCGCCGCAGGTCCGAAAGTTCGTGAGCTGCGGCTTCGAGGAGCAGCAAGCCAAGCGCCGGAGGCCCGAGAATTTTTTTTCTCGGAGGCCCAGGGGAACCCGAGTGAGGACATGGGGCGGACGCCGTTTTTTTGGATTTCCCTCTCTTAAAGCCACACAGAAAGGGGTGGCGTCAAGCAAAGACGGGGCGTGGCCCTTTCTGAGGCATGTTGGGGCGAGGAGCCATGAAAACCTGGTCTATGGCTCACACTGTTCAGCTGGGACCAACCGGCCCAATAGAGGGGTGGGGGGGCTTCTGATTTGTCAAAGGGAGGGCTTGAAGAAAGGGCGCGGGCGCCTTGTCAAGAGGAATTGGCGCATTTGCATCTGAGGCGCAGCGGCATCCATGAACCTGAGCCAGAACAAGAATGCCGTGGCCGCAACCTGATGGGTGTGGCTCCTGTTTTAGGGCCCCCCCAGAACCAAAAGCACACCCACCATTTTGGGGTGTCCCCTAAATAATGTTCACCTTCTGATCAACGCCCCCCCCGAGTGGCATTTGCATGTTGGCAATTTGGAAGACGAGCGCTTTGGCCCCGCGATTTTGGGTGCTGAGGACTGGACAGAATTTGTGGCAGTGCTGGCCCTGGAGGGATGTTTGCCATTGGGCGTGTTGTTTTTTAGGGGTACCGTTTTCAGGCTTGTTTTAACGGAGAGGGGGTCCCCCATTCCCTGCAGTTTCCGGCCACTGCCCTGCAATATGAGTCGCCTGAGGCCTGCATTGATTTGGGCAACCCAAAGCTAGAGCCGTGCATCCAGATGATTTTTCTGAACGCGGACAAGGAGCGAGCGCGATCCGCTCACCGCAGTTGTCATCACCTCGGCTGTCAGGATGGAGATGGCCTGCTCTCTCTCCAAGATATCCAGTCCATGCTTCCGGAGGTCCGCTGGGAAATTAGCCGCAAAAAAGAAGTATGGACCCTTGACTTCTTGTACAGAAAGAAGCAGTCTGGTAGCATTCTTGCAGCCAGGCTCATCGCAATGCCAGAGAGGCGCGCTTGTCCACTCGGTGTAACTACTTGTGCTGTAGCTCTTTTTTTTTTTACCTGAATCACTGGATTGGAACGGTTTCTTTGTTTTTTTTCCTTTGAGGGGAACTGCTGCCATCTAAAGAAAGCATGTCCACCAATCTCAAAAGCTCCCCCAATGAGAAAGACACACCAGATTCACCAGATTGTGTTCATTAGGGGAACCCCCTTGACGTCGGCCACAACATTGGCAGGACCTATAGCCAAGAAGAAGTGACCACAAGCGTGCTTTGATATTAACCAATGACTCATCAGCTATTCCAAAACGCAATGACACATAGATTCCGGTCAGCACTTCAACCTGAACCTGGCAAAGACTCAACAAGCCAGCTTCTCGTGTGCTGGCAGGCGGCCCAGGCAATTTTCTTGCAGATCACTGGCCGTGCGTGATCGGCTCAGTTCAAAAGGAGCCACTGGGTGTTTCTCAGAATAGGAATCGGTCCATTTCCGAAAAGTGGAAGCAGTTTCCTGTTGGTCCCTTTGCAAACACCAACCAAAGGGTTGGTCTGCGTCCTGTTAAGCTAGGGGGCCCTAAAAACGGCAACCGGCAAATGCTTTCTCCTGGTCTCTCTAGCTCCAACCAAAAGGATTTTGGTCCTAATCTTGTTTTGAGAAGCTCCCACGAAACTTGCTGAGAGTCGAGGTCAGAGTCCGGTGGGGCGCGAATGGACTGGCACTCCTTCGTCACATATCTTCGAAGGCAGCCGCCACTGCTCATTTCTTGCCATTGCAAGGGCAGTTTGCGATGTCCAAACCATCCAGGCAAGCACGAGCTGGCATGCCCGAGGAGCCGAGCATCGAGGCGTGCGATGCTCGATGCTCGAAGCACACATGGCCATGGTTCAAGCCAAAGGTACCATTTTGGGGGGTAGGTGAATTCACCACCCATTTTAGGTTCCCTATTTTAGTGGTTGGGTTGGGATGTTCACTGGGTCCTACGATTTGGGTTTTGACCCATGGGCCACATCTGTATTGGGCAAAAATCCCCCCATTCCAGAGGCAAAGCTTTTCCAAAGCCATGGAGACCAAACATGGTGGGTCAAAATCCAAATCGAAATCCCGTACCCCCAGTGAACATCAACCAATCCAACCACTAACATAGGAAACCTAAAATGGGTGGTGAATTCACCTACCCCCCCAAAATGGTACCATTGGTTTTGACCCACAGCCATATAATTTGTAAACAAATCGTTCTCTCTCAGCTTGGAGATGCTGGCGATAGAGACAGCTTCGGGTTGGGAGTGACTTCACCAGCATTCCCGGTGTCATCAATATCACCAGAGTCCTCAGCAAGTCTCTTTGCATCCTAATCTGATATCAAAATCGCAGCCGCTTCCTCGATTTCAGTAAATGACAACCGCATGTCGTATGAACCCACAGTGACAATCCAAGTACCTGCCCAATGCCGGGAATATTCCACCGCATGCCAGTCACAGCATTGATGCTAATTGTTACGAAATGTGGGTGGGTCCATAGAAAGAGACACACCCATGCAGCTTATACTTGGTTGCATTGCGGAGGCAGAGCCTGAAGAGAAGGCCGGGACTTCTCATGTTGACTTCCGCATCACTGGCACTTTTTGAGGCGCCGCCCGACATCATCAGCAATGTGACAGATGCGCTCCGCGCAACAGCAGACGAGTGGATCAGTGCTGAACTCATTTGGCAACCGATCAGACTTCAGATTGGTCAGTGTCCAGGGACTCCATTCTTTCTTCTTTACTCACCTCATGAAGTTTCTGTGCTTGGCCTCTAAGGCAGCCTCAGCAGTGTGGGTCAGAACCTCTTCGGTGGCAAGGCTGCTTTGAATTTGGAATGCATGCTGGATGCCTTTTCATTTTTGCATGTCGCAGGCCGAGCGCGGGTCAAAGTCTTAGGCAAGTACCATTCTGGGACAACGGTTCACGCTATAAAAGATCAGGCTGTAAAGGGAACGCTCATGCGACATTTTTCGCTGCCAAGGCAAGGCGGAAGACTCAGAGGCTGGATGGCTTTACGAGTACTTTGTATTCGCTCCAAGCGGACGTGTGAAGAGGGCAGCATCATTGCAGCAGACTGTGGATCGACAGCCTGCGTTGTGGCCTTTTTTTTTTGTCTAGGCGACGATGCGGTTTTGCAGCCGTGACCCTCAGCATCTCGGTGCAAGGGGCAAAGCTCTGGCTGCCCAATGCAGGTCCTTGAAGGAGATGGGTTACTGCGAGGAAGCAATCAACGTCAAGGTGCTCAAGTGGTGTAGGCATGGGGAACGAATGGCCTGGACACCACAGAGTCCAGTTTGGACTTTTGCCAGGCAGCACAGTCTCACGGATTTGCAGTCGGATGATCGCTTCTACCTGGAGCTGGACAGGCGAAACAAAGTGCAAAGTGCAGTGGGCGCACTAACCGTCGGGCCGCTCGTAGCATAGGTTCAGGCCGGAACACCCTGTGAACGCCTGGCTTGTGTCTTAGGGGCCGAGGGAAGGCAAAGGCGAGTCGAAGGAAAGTCACGCGAACAGTCGAAAAAAGAAGCAGCACTTCGACACTGGAGGAAACAACACTTCGAACAGTCGAAACGTCAATTTAACAAGTCAACAAGTCGAAAAGCCGAACATCCAGAAAATTGAAGGCTGAACAGGTGAAACCATCAGATGCTGTGTTTCCAAAATGCTTCTTTGTGTTGTTTCATCCATCTGGCTCAGGGGCGGTTCCTTTTGATCTTGTTTCCAAAGCATGAGCATATGAACGTTCTTGCGGCAAACTTCACCTGGGAGAGCGCTGGTTTTGCAGACCTCACATGCCATGAGCCCGTTTGATTTCCGAACATAGCCATAAGAAGGAGCCGACGCAGAAACAGCGAAACGACTAGGAGGGAGTAGGAATCTGGAGCGAAAGCAAAACGATAAACAAGAGTAGGACAAAAGAAGCTGCGAGAAATCGACCTCATGGCAAAGTAGCACTGGAAGGAAGCGGGAGCATGTAAGGATCCCTGCAATACACTCCGACCAGGCGTTGCGCTCAGGCTTGCTTTCGACCATCCGAAGGAACCGAAACCCGCAGAGTGTGGCACTCTTTGAACATTTCTATTCCTCCACCACACGCGACACATTTTGTCGCGCGTGCTTTTTCTTTTCTGGTCTTTTGTCAGAATTAGTTGCCGTACCCACAAGTTGCTTTTAAGCTTCCTGTGACAAAACACTATCTTAATTCCGATTGGTACTTGGTAGAGTGGATGTGTGGTGATTCTTGCATGCAGCAGTACATCTGATGTGCTACTGCATAGTGCCGTAGAGTGGGGGCGATCTTGTGCTTTGCAGGTCAGATTGTAGTTAAGGACATTTGCAGGTCCATTGGTTTTGTTTCTGCTACACGTACGCTGCAGCGATAGTTGTTTTACCCCCTCCCCCCCTGCAATTTTGACCCGGTTCGTAAGTGTGCCTCACCTTGCCATGCGTGTGCACTAGGCCTATTTCGCTTGTGCAAGAGTAAGACACTTGTTCATGTGCTCACGTTTGGGGGCTCTCCCCACGTGGAGTCAGCATAGTGGCGCCCTTTTTCCTGCAGGCAGTATGCCAAGTTACGTGCCTCTCAGTGCTGAGCCCAGAGAGGGCAATTGAGAGCTGAGTGCAAGGAAGAAGGGTTCGCCCTTCATTCTGATAGGTGCGACGCTCATCCACATTGTGTACCTGTCATGGGCTACGTGAAGAGCCCTGTGTGGGGAGCTCGAGTCGGATAGCGCGAGTCTGACAGCTTCACGCGCAGTGAGGGCAAAGCTCGTGCCGTCATTTGAGGCACGCATGAAGATGAGGATGACTTCAACCTGCACGCACACGCAGGGCTTCTTGCTTTTGTTGAAGGACATGGGTGACCTCTTTTTGCACACACTGAATCGTCTTCAAGTTGCCCTGGGTGGACAATTTGCCCTCTTTGCAGAGTTGGGCCAGAATTCGATTGCAGAGCATGTGAGATTTTCGGTTTTGACAGCGCAGTTGTGTTGCGTTGCGGTGAACACGGGCTCTTTGTCTCGAAGAGACGAAGCTCCCATGCATGCAGTCTTTTGTCAGAGCTACGCAAGCACGGGCAGCGTTTGTAGCAATATCCCCATGTTCTGACAGGAGGGGCTCTTTTGTAGTTTGCTGTTGGCATCCCACCGGCTTGCACAGGAGGCTTATGCTTCCTAGGACTTGCATATGTGATGTTTTTCAGAACATCATTGCCAGATCAGAGCTTCAAACCAAATGGCTCAAAGCCATTTTGGAACCAATGTCCATGGCAGACGCCATCGAATCACGACTGAAGATACAGCCAGCATTTGGGAGTTGGTCGGTTGCAGTGTGCATGTCACGCGCTGACCACCAGAGACGCAGGCTTCGAGATGGCAAGGCCGCTCAGGACAGCGTCTGCGACTAGCAAGTCATCGTCAGACAGAGTTACAAAGTTAAACGGCCTCATCGGAGCAGAACATGTGAGCCATAATCAAAACTCGGGTAGATGAAGGTTAGTCCCAGCCAGAAATAGTTGCGGCCGCCTTCTTAATTCGTTGCATGGTTCTGGGTAGACCATTTTACTACCGGGTTTTGATTATGACTCATGTGATACTGATTGTTATCCATCAAGATAACTTTGTGAACAAAACTACTATGCAAGTCACAGTGTATCGCGACATGGATGGACATTTGGGACATTCATTGCAGCAGAGGCACTAGAATGATAGCTCTGTTATTGTCCAGGAGGCCTTCCGGATTTCTTGGCACGTACAACTCAGGCTTGCCAGCATGACACCAGCAAGCTCCAGGATTGTATATCCTATACAGTCCTATCCAAATCGGTTCTGATAGTCTGACTCTGTTGCCAACCTTGCAGCTGTAAGTGCCTGTCTGACTGAAATCAGTTCAAGAATCAGGCGGGAGAGACCCTCCGCAATCCCTTTGCAGCCACCATCGCCGAGGCACAAGGGAAGGGCACTGCATTCTTTGTGTTTGGTGCAAGTTTGTGGCACCAACATACCATGCCATGCCATTCTGCAAGAGAGCCGTCCAAGCAAGTCCAACGAAGGCAGCACTTGTGTCAGTGCAACTTGTCTGCAGGATACTGCCGAGATTCCTGTAGAATTGAGGACCTGGGCTGTCAAGTGAGAGCCGTGCCAGATGCAAGCCACGCTTGAAACTTGTGACGTGCTTCTGCTCAAGCACATGATCAAGTTGTCATGGCGAGAGCAGCACAAGCAACACATTACTGCATCGTAGATCCGTACGCTTAATTGACAAAAGCACACAAAGTGATGCAGGAGCATGAATGATGGCACAGAACTGTCTTGCAACCACCCTCCATTTTTTTGAAACTGTCCAGGGGCACTTTGGAGTAGGCTTCGCTCTGCTCATGAGCCATGGGGGGACAGGAGAAGAGGCTGGGAGTGACTTGCGGGTCTGTGCTCGCGCATATGGAGAGGATTCCTTCAGCTTCAATGTGTTTGACAATGCCCGCAGCTTCGTGCAGCCTTTCAACTTGGTATCCCTGGGCTTACCTCCTTTGTGCTTCTATCAACCTCGACCATTTTCTTATTTGAGAGGGCTTGATTGTCACCGGGGTCCCTGCAGCTTCTCCGATCTAGCGGTGCTTTGGAGCCGTGTCACCTGAGTGTGTAGCACAAATTAAAGTTGCGCCCAGAGTAGTGGTATGCATCGAGGACTTGTTGGTGGCATTCGCCTACCCCTGTGGGCTCGTGCAAGCATTGACAACCTCGTGTGCAAAGCAGCAGCTGCTGGAATGGCGTGCAGCAAGCAGCGTTCAACTCTAATCATGGCCTGGCAAGGTGCACGGCCAGCGTTTGGCGTAGTGTTGCAACCCGGTTATCTCAAGACAACATGCCAGTGGGTCTATGCCGGGGCGTTTTGGTTCCATCGCCAAACACCATGCGTTTGGAGAAAGCAGTCCTTGCAACTCTCAGGTGGATGGAGTGCAGGAGAAGGCTTCCACCATGGAAGCAGGTGGGTTTTCCGAAACTGGGGCAAAGACATCAACGTCTGGGCTGCTGAGGGGTTTTATTCTTTGCGCTGGGAAGGCCTTGCGCTGCAGCAGGAAGTCGAGCGGCTCAAGGCCTGGAAAGCACCGGTAAGCACGGGAAAGTGAAAGCGCAATACGATGAGCCCGGAATGCCTCGCTTTCTTGAGAGTGCACACACATTAAACAGTTGCCTGGATGATGTGACGCATCATGTTGTGATCTTTGTTGCAGGCGCAAGGCAGTGATGAGTTTCGCTTGGGCGAGTTTCAGGTTGGGTGCTCCAATTGCATCTTAACAACATGCAGCCGCAGCTTCAGTGCCCGCATCTGAGGCAGCCTTTGAGTGCTACGCTTTGGCTCTGCAAAGCCTTGAGAGGCCCACTTTCGTGTATGTCCACTCATGCATCATGCTGGAGCGCACGTTGGGGAATTCAAAGACATTTGAAGCAGCTTGAGGTGGGCCTTCGTCGATTCTGCCTTGGTGTCAACGTTGGCATCGAACCAGGCCCATGTCGCTGGATGCCGTTCTTGCAGCTCTGGGTGTGATGTGCGCATGCTGCGCAGGCCCTGTGCCTTCTGAAGCTGGAGCAATTCCAGGGAGCTGAGGCGTGGCATCAGATCCTGTTTGACATGTCTGTGTGGATCTGTGGGCTTCGAAGGAACGAGCCTCCGCAGCACTGGCTGCGGATGGGTCCAACAGCAAGGCTGCCTGAAGCCTGGCTTATGCTCTTGAAAGCTTGACGTCGGGACACACGACATGTTACACGATGCCAGCAAGATACAAACATTGCAGAAGGACACACATGTGATGTTATTGTTCTGACACCTTCTCGGAACGGGCCCACAAGACAGGAACCTCCGTGAAATGTCTTTGGTTGCTGTACCCCTGCTACTTTGAGCAGTTCCTACTTCACTCGAACTGCCGAAGCGTCGTGCGGTCCGCCTTGGCGTGACACCGCGCGACAGAGCGTCCGGCTGAGGCCTACCGCCGGGGCCTGGCGCGCCTGAAACTGGGCGAGGCTCGAGGTGCCGCAGAGGACCGGTGTGTTGGTTGCGTTGCACGCCAAGATCGACTCATGGCAACTGGGCGATGTGCACTGAGCATCGGGCAGGACCTTCAGAAGGCCCTGAGGTCTGCTTCTCCAGCATGTGGGATTTTTTTAACGCACACGCTTCGCATGTGCAAGGCTTGACCCGAACTCCGAGATTCGGCGGAAGCTTGCAGAGGCACCCGAGTGAAACGGACGTTGGGACAAGGAAGGCATGTGCATGACTCTCAGGGTTCCTGATCGACTCAACAATGCATTGACAGCCACAAGTCTCAGGCTAAGGGTAGTCTGTCTATGGTCTGCAGGCAAAGCAGCTGATGGCTGGACCCTCAGCATCCCCAGTGCATGGACGCGTGTCATGACTTGTGAGATGCCAAGGCGCCTCCTGAGCAGGAGGAGCTTGCGGTGGCAGCAGCCGCTGCCAGCGCTCTTGGAAAGGATGGCGGGCTGTACAGAGCTGAGTTTCCATTGCGACTGCCACAGCATGTGGACGTGTCTTTTTTGAGAGAACCCTAGTTTGGGTGTAAACCCCGCTGCTTTCTGGTAGCCATTGGCGCCTCCTCAGCCAGCGCTGTAGCCGATTGTTCGCCTGTTGCGGGCTACCACAGTGGCTCACCAGAGCTGAGCTTGTTCGTGCGCCCGGATGGATGACCGGCCGTCGTTGTTGTTGAGGGCCAACCGTCAGATTGCGGAGGTGAGGGATGAGCTGGCTCGAGTCGATGTGCAGGTGGACAACATCCAGGCCAAGAATGCGGGCTTTCTCGAGGAGATCTCCCTGCTGGACACCGAGGTGACGCGGCTTTGCGCCAGAACGGCCCTCTCGGAGCAGCAACTCGCTGAGAGCTTCGAAAAGAAGAGCCATGCTCGGCAAGAACGCGAGGAGAAGAAGGCTGAGCAAGAGGCCTCCATCGCGCAGCTGCGGGAGCAATTGCGAGAGCGGCAGCAGGCGCTGGAGACGGCGGAGCAGTCTGCTAAGGCGTGGCAGTCCAACACGGCCGTAGGTTTGGCCGCGACGTCCAAGTCAGATCTGCGGGCCGCAGAGTCCAAGGAGAGTTCCCAGCGCTCTTTGGTGGAAGCATCCAGGACTCGCTCCTCAAAGCTGGAGGAAGAGATTTGCGAAGAGCGGCGGAGGCAGCAGGAGCTGCACCGATCTCTGCGGAGGGCCATTGAGGACCGTGAGAGCTCCGTGGAAAATGAGAATTCTTTAAAGGCCGCCATCAGGGCGAAAGGAGCAGATCCAGACGGGCCGGGCAGCACGGAGGGGTCCAAGCTGGAAGCCGAGGAGATGAGGAGGACGGAGCTGGCCTGCGTGGAGAAATGCAGCAAGATCCGGAGCAGCCTCGCTGAGCTCGACAAGAAGACGGCGCAGGATACCTCCGCCTTGCAGAGATCGCTGGACGATGCCCGGGAGGAGGTGCAGAGGAGCTTGGCGCAAGCAGCTGAGGTGCAGCGAGCAGAGGTGTCCAGCCTCGAGCACAAAGTGCAGGCGGAGCGCCAGCGCGCCAGCATTGAGGCGGTGAGCGAGAGCACCTGCCATGGCCGTCTCGAACGCTTGCGCAGCACGCTGGCCCGCATGCACACGCAGCCGAAGGCTCAAAGCAGCAAGCGGCTCAGCGACGAGCTCCGCCGCACCAAGCAAGAGGTGGTGAACGCGGAGCTTCAGCTACAGGACCGGCAGGGAGAAGTTCAGCGTCTGGACAGGCAGAAGCAGGAAGCGCAGGCGCAGGGCCTGAGAGAAGCGCAGCAGGTGAAGGCCAAGATCCAGGAGATTTGGCGGAGCGTTGCGGCCTGACAGCCAAAGAAGCTGAGGCTTCCCGGAGGAAAATAGTATTATATATATATATATATTATGTAAATGTGTATATATATATATATACATATCCCGCTCTCTCTCTCTCTCTGTCTATCTCTCGCCCTCTATTTCTCTCCCTCTAACTCTTTCCCTCTCTCCCTCGCCATCCGATGCCGCATCTTCGCATCTTGGCCAAGACGTGTGACCTACTTCCACAGCCTCAGAGCTCAGAGCTCAGTGGTTTTGGCCCGCAAGGGTTTTCGCAACACAAGGCCCGAGGTTTCGGTTTCGCAGCCTTCGCGCAAAGCGTCTTATGTGCCGTGAGCGTCTTATGTGCCGTGAGCTTGCCGGCAAGAAGGCATACATATATATATATATATATATATATATGGTACCCCCCTGGAATACTCAGGTTTTCGTTCAAAACTTGTCATGTTTGCTGTAAGAATAATATATATATATATATATACATATATACGTGTGTCATCTTATTTTTATTTTTAAAGAGGAAATCGACCTGGTGAGAAATTTCCGGAGCCCGCGTTGACAGTAGCGTGTCGCACGTCGTATCCTGTAGGAGGTTATCATCTCCTGAGGTCTCCCCTCCCCTCCCCTCCCCTCCCCTCCCCTCCCCTCCCCTCCCCTCCCCTCCCTCCCTCTCTTTCGCTCTTGATTGCTTGCTTGCTTCTTTCTCTTTCTCTTTCTTCTTCTCCCTCTCTCTCCCCCTGTATCACTTTCCTTTCCGCTCTTGGAGCCTCCAGCAGCGACACAATTCAACGGCGCATAGCAAGCACAGCACACACCAAACACTTCACGCATCATTTGTGGGACTAGTTCCCACAAGAGCTGGGCATGAACTAGCAGGGGTTACTTTTCAGAAGCTTCTGGGTTCAGGAAAGATGCCAGCCAATTCCCTGTGGATTATTTCATAGACAGTGTCACTTACTGCAAGTCGGCTCAGGTACAGCACCAAACACGACTTGAATGAGGGTAGATTAGCCGAGTCCTACAAGGAGAGAAGCTGACACATGTCGTCTGGACGTCGGCTCCTTTAGGAGCAGAGAGAATGGGTGAAGTCCATTGACTCGTGGAAAGAGATCACGGAGATCTCCTTTGCAGAGGAGGAGAACAAGAACTGTATTTCAATTTACATGTCTTTGCAGGTGCCTTACTGAGGAGCACGCATGGATGCCACCCCACTATGATCGAAATAGATTGATTCAACTCAGGGTGCTCTTGCTTTGATGCTTTCTGAGGCCTGGCATCCATGAAATTGCGCCCAACAAGGTGTGCGTGTGGATGACGGCCAGCACGTTGGAGGCACGGTGATTGCTTGTGTAGAGTTTCTATGATGAATTAATTTTTCAGTTTAGGTCCGCATCGTCGACCTTCAGGGTGCCAACTGGTACTGCCTGCGTGCTTGTTGCATCTCAGGGTTTGCGATTTGTGAAATCTTGACATGATTCAATGCTCATACCCGCAGCTGCTAAGGTGCTACGTGGCGCAGGAGTTATGGGGGCACATAAACCCAGAGTCGCCGCCCCAGCAACGTCTTAGCAACGATTCATCACCTGACAACGATGGGTCAAACAAAATAACAGTCCGAGGCTTGGCGTTGTGTATTACTCTTCACATTGATTCGTGGTTTGGCAAGCTTTTGAGAGCTTCTTGGCTTGTTTGAGCTTCGATCCCTTTTGTCTCACCTATCTAGCGCCAGCGCCCTGCAGCATAATCCATGTGCAACTTGGTCCTTTGGATCGACTTTTGACCGTTTGGCTTGTGCCAAATTGGCGTGCCAGGGTTTCCGCGTGAGGATTGCGCCAAATCGGCGTGCCATGTTTCCGTGAGGAAATCCACGTGGAAGATCCGCAAAGACAAGCTCTCCCTGAAGCTTGACAAGCGGGCCGCCCGAAGTCGGACACCTGGGGGTGCCAGGGATCCGCCTGAGGGAAGGCACATGAAAGCAGCTGGAGGAATTCAATTGAGTCACAATCAAAACCCGGGTAATTGGAGGGAAGTAAGGGACAATCCCAGCCATAAATGGTTGCGGCCGCCTTTTCATTTCGTTGCATGGTTCTGGGTTCACCATTATTGTACCAGGTTTTGATTATGTCTCAATTGATGCATCCCGAAAAAAACACAGTTTCCAGGTTGGACCACCCAGAATGGTGGGGTTTCCTTTTCATGTCCCGCCAAACCAAGCCCAAGAATGGCACCCTCCGAAAACCAACGCCCTTGTGGACACCAAGGCTTTGACCGCTGGGAGAAGCTTCGACGAATCTGATCACGTGAACATATTTCCCTTCGGCCGGGGTCGGCGGAACGCTCTCAGTTGAACATCTCAAAGTCCATGAGTCAAGGCTCATGGCTCCCACCTTCAACTGGCTTGAGGGATGCCACATCTTTGGAGGTGAACAAGTTTTGGAGTTGAAAAGCACGTCGCCATCGCCTCTTGCCATGTGGTTCATTGCCGGTGGATCCCGGTCCAGAGACTTCTCTTGAGCAATGCCTTTGCGGAGCGAAAACGCGCTTGGAGTTCCAGCAATGCCGTTGCAGTCTGGGCTTGCAGAATTCTGCAAGGCATTGATAGGTTGGCCTCCACTTGCGCGACTGCAGGACTATCCGACGAATTCACTTGGAAGATGAAGAGACCGAGTGCCGCCGCCAGTTTGTGGGATGACTTGCTCGCTCAGTGCTCCAGTGCTCGGTGTTCCTTGCACACATGGCTCGGAAGGCAAATGCATAGCGCCAAATAGGCGTGAATTTTATTGGACCTTCTGGACGCCATTTGGGTGTGGCTCAAAATAAACAGGAGGGGTTACGCAGGTTTTGGTCCATGTTTCCACTTGCCAGGGCAACCCATTTTGGTACCGATTTTTTGAGCCACAGCCATTTAGGTCTACTACTTTTGAGGTAAGACTCATGGCCATTTGTCAGTGCAAACCTGAAATAAATGCGGTTGCATTTGCCCTCAAGCAAAGACGCTAGAGACCTTTTTTTCTGGGCGGTCTCCTTTTGTTTTCTTCCTTTTTTTTTTCCCGGGAGTTTGAATGGACACAAGCACCCTTTGCACCTTTTTGGAGGTGTCACAAGCCCAGACCTATCCTAGGCTGAGCCCAGAGTGCCAGAGAGTTACGTGGCAACCGGCTTCGCTGGATCTTTTCCTGCGGCTGACGGGAACCCTCAAAACACGGTGATCCTTTGCCAAGGCGTTTTGTTTCGAAACCGCCCCAAGAGTCTGGTAGTTAACACATGTCCAGTGCGGTGAAAGGCCAGCCCAGTGCAGATGTTGGAAGCGAAGATCTGGGTGTGGTCGCTTGTCATCAAGATTCCAAGCAGGAATCTCCAAACTCAGGTAGCGCTTTCTTTAGTGGTTTGGATTGGTGGCTTGGGGATTTGCAGCTTTATTGACCAACCTTCATGCAAGTTTATCACCACGGCCGTTTTAGTCTGTGGCTGGCAAATGCCAGGAATCCTCCGCCGCCAGCAGAGGGTATGGCGGCCTCTCGTAATCTGGGCGCGATGACGCAGACCCTCAGTTCCTGGGCAGCATGGAGCGATGGACATAGAAAACCGAAGATGAAGTGGCATTGGATGTTTTATACTTTCCAGCCTTTTGCCTGTGGCTTGCCCGACATCCTACCGATTCGACCAATTCGAGATACTTGTGATACGGGTACCGTTTCAGACAGCCTTTGCCTGAAAGTCACGTCGCAATTGAGCAGGTGGATGCCTTTCACCCGGAGGCGTGGCGACAGAGCGCGTCATTGACGCACATCACACAGCTTAGAGCCTTAGGGCCACGTGCAGATCAGTGATCAGCTGCATGTTGCTCGAGACACAGGAATGAATTGCACGAAGTCCAGCCTGTTCCTGGCTCAAGTTGGCTTTTTTCTCGGGGAAGCAGATTGAAGGCCATGGGGGAGTAGGTGGGCATGCGTGTGCTCCATCACTGCAACTGTTGCTTGTGCTGAAGAGCAGCGCTTTTTGGCTGATGGGGGGTGAACTATCATTTGTCATGAGAGCATGGAAAGAGCTCTTGCCACGCTGAGGCTTGCATTAGCCAATTTGCATTGATGTCAGATGCAGCCCTTCCAACAGCGGCTCAGATGCAAGTTCGACTAGAGTCAAGGCATCAAGTCAGAGCCGAGGTTCTTTGAGCTGTACATCCTTTTTCTTTTGACTGGGGCAGATGCAGAAATTCGGGTAATGCTGAGTGTGATCACGCGTAATCGGTTCTGGACGCACGCTTTATCTACGCTCTCTCTGCTGCAGTCTCTCCAACACGCCAGGAAACATGAACCTCAGATTTTCTTCGAGTGGCAAATCTTGGATGACGCATCAGACAAGACTGACGCAAAGAACAAGCATGCAATGATTTCAGATCTTCTTGATCGTGGCTGGGTGAGCAACTACACCAAACTGGTCCGACGTGTTGGCACTGTCCAACTGAAACGCCATGCAGTCGACACATTTCTGATGAGAGAAGATCTGGATTTGTTTTTACACTGCGATGATGACGTCCTAGTCGGAAAGGGTACCCTCGCACGAGCAGTGAAGGACTATGTGCAGGACCTCCGACATGGCGGGGTTCTGGCCCTCTTCGTGAACTCCTGGCTGGACGAGCAGCTCTCCTTTTCCTCCCCGGCCTTCGGTCCGTACGCCACCGCTCCGTTTCTGGGCGGGGCCGCGTACGTGGCGGACCGCGCCACCTTGGCCAAGAATCCGTGGGCCGCGGCGAAACGAACAGCTTCGCCCCATGAGGCGCACGTGCAGTGGCTGCGGGGGCTGCTCCCTGCGCAGGGGCGATCGATTTGGGTGCGCTGGCAGCAGCCCTACGAGTGCCAGCACCTGGGCAATGTGCAGACCTTGAACTTCGGCACGCAGCCAGAGTGGGAGCCCATGTGGGCCATCCACCATGAAACTGGGCGTTTTTGTTTTGTTTTTAGGTTTGTTTTCAGCCATCCTGTTCGTTTGTTTTCAGTCTTTCCCGGGGTTTGGTGGGAGTTTCCACGAATTTCCAATTCGCCCACTAAGAGCTGGACTTTGAGCAGATCAGCAAACGGGCCGAGGAAACCAAGAGAATCGTGGAGGTGCCAGGATATAGCTCCGTGGAGCTGCGTGCGGCCCTGTGGCGGAATTGTCTGCGCGACTTCGTCGTGTACCGCAACTCCCTGGCGACGGAGAAGCTGAAGCTGAAGGGCCCTGTGGTGGAAGACTGGTCGCGGAAGTGCCGCAGGACTCGTTCTTTTTTAACTCCCTCTGGATGTTCGATTTACGTTTTTTTTTTTTTTTTTTTTTTTTTTTCGCGCCAGAAAGCAGGGTGTGGGTGATTTTCGCTTGAAAGCGGGTGAAAAGAGCGGGTCTGAAGGACCCACTTCAACTATTTGGAGATCGGCACCTCGGATTTCGACACGTTGTTGTCGCGGCACGTCTGGCGAGAAGAGGTGCGGGGCATCTCTGTGGAGCCCGTGCGGGCGTACTTCGAGCGCCTGCCCAGCGCCGGAGGCAAGCTGCTGCTGAACCTGGCGGTCAGCGACCACGACGGCTATGACACCATCTACTTGGTGCCGCCGGAGCTGGTGGCTGGATACATGGGCTCCTTGGCTCACGCGCGCAAAAAGAAGGCCAAAGACCGGGCTGTGGTTGTCAAAAACAGTTTTGGGATCCCATTTTGGTTGGGATTGGTGAATTCACCACCCATTTTAGAACATATTTTGGTGGAGATTGGGATGGTCACTGGGGTACGGGATTTTGACCCATGGCCACTTGGACATGGGAGGCTCAGAGAGCCTCTGCGACGAGGAGCAGGTCAAGAAGCTGGGCCTGTCCGGCTGCCTGCCCGGCTGGATTCGGGGCACTTCGTCACTTCGCCCACCGGAAGGCGTGCGACAGCTCTTGGGAGAGGAGCTGAAGAGGATCTTGGCCAAAGTGCAGGCGCGAGGCCTGCGGCGTCGGCTTTGGAAGACTGGAAGGGCCCAAGGGCACTTGGGCACTTGGGCACTTGGGTGTTTGAGGGCCGCTCGTACTTACTTCTCTTGCTCCTGTAGGTGCCGAGCATCACATACAGCAGTCTTGTGACCATTTATGGCGTCGGCTGCTTTTCTGCATGGTGAAGATGCAAGCAATATGGGTATGGGTCAAAATTAAACCACCAGGGGACCGCAGGTTTTAGTCAATGTTTCCATTTACCAGGGTTCTATTTTGGGTACCTATTTTTGACACATACCCATATTTGCCTGCTGTGGCGCGAGTCTCAGGTTCCTTGGACATACTGAAGCTTGCAGCTCGGCTTCAATGGTTCCCTTTCTCAGCTTCCCCTTTGGTGGTTTGGGTTGGCTTTGGAATATTGGTTCTTTGCAGGAATGGGACTCCAGCCCTTCACCTCACCTCAGGCTCAACCCCCCCGAACCCCCCCAACCCCCCCGAACCCCCCCAAACCACCCAACCCTCCCCCAAACCCAACCCCTCGCGTGGATCGCTCCACGTCCGTCAGGACACCGAGGGCTTCGACCACCAGATCCTGCAACAGGTCCTGGCGCTGGGCCGATCCCAGGGGCTCTGGCCTGGCCAGGCGAGCGCTAAAGCGAGCGCTGAAGCGAGCGCTAAAGCGAGCGCTAAAGCGAGCGAACGGGGATGGGGGGGGGATGGGGGGGATTGGGCTGTTGGGGGAGATTGGTGGAACATGCTTGCTTTTGTGTTTGTTTGTGTGGTGGGTGGGTGGGGGGGGGGGTGATTGAAGAAAACTGTTTGAAGAATAGATGGGAAGGGGGAGGAGAGGGGACCTCGGTTGTCTTTGTCAGCCTGGCCCTATGAGGATCTCTAGCAGGAACTAGCAGTGTACTTCTCGTTGTGAAATGACTGTCAAGCTACCCTGTGCAGGTTCAGTTCGAGAAGAACATGCTATCCGACTGGCAAGCGTTGGACAACCAAGCAGCTTGGCTTCTGAATGGATTGAAGCTGTTGCAGCTCTTGCAGTCTTGCCCATGACCAACACGACCGATTCCTGCAGTGAAGCACAGAGCCCCGATAAGATGTTTACCGTATTTGTTGCTGTCAGCAATCTTCTGCCACCCACTGTATTTGCGGAATCAAGATGTGGTTTGTTTTTTGGTTTCCCTCTAAGCCAACCTGAATAAGGGTCGCGAGCCTCAAAAGAGCAGACGCCAGGTGGCGGAACTACAGGACGTTGGGTACAGATGCCGAATGACTGGTGTGGAGGTGGCTACTTGCTGGCGAAGTCGCGAGATAAGCGAGAGCCAAAAAGAGTCCGAGCTTTGAGCAAGGAGGCGCCTCATAGGCCATTTTTTCGCTATTGGTGGGAGTACAATCTGGGTGCGTCCTGTTTTACGGGACCCCCGAAAAGGGGGGTTTGTTCTTGGCTTCCTTTTCAAGCCACAAAACCGGGAAGCTTCAAAGACAAGCCACAACCAAGGGCAACCTTCAAACAACTCGTGACCGACAATGGGTGATTTTTTGCCGCATGCTTGTGCATGTGGTCTCTTTGCCCGTGCGAGCGTGTGTGCTCGTTCTGGACCAAAAACAAGACAGAGCCCACGAACCCGAATGCACATCACTTTGCGCAAGCCCAAGGAAATAATTAGAGAGAACATCTTTCGGTATAAGCCAATGGGGCTCGCAATCAAGTCAACTGCGCAAACTATTTGTTCAGCTCGTAAAACTGTACTTTGCGTACTCGACTTGTTGCTTACAAAGTTACGATTTTTGAACTGGAGCTGGACACCTGCACTTCGCGTACTCGCGCAATATACTTGTACTACAAAGCTGTGATTTTCCAGCTAGTGCTGGAAACCTCCACTTTGCGCAGTAGACTTGTACTTCAAAGTTGCGATCGCGTACCATACTTGTGCTCCAAAGTTGCGATTTTCGAGCGTTCTAGACTTGTGCTACAAAGTTGCGACACGAAACACTGCGCAGCGAAACGACACGTCGAGCTTGAGAAGCTACGATTCGCGCACAGGGCCAACGAAAACAGCGCATCACAAGTCATCAAACTCACGTTCTGCGCTTCCCCACTGGGAGAGCCATAGCGCAAGCAATCGTACGAACGGTTGCGAGCGGTTGCGCAACATCCGGCGAACAAGGCTTCACCCCCAGACCCCCAAGATGAAACGAGAACCATATGCTACGCATTCGGAAACAACTCACGAGCCAGGCCGGAGCGCGGAGGCTCTGGACGATGCCCTGGAGTTGCGGACGATGCGAAGACAGGTCGCGGGCTTGGCTTTTGGAGGGCGAAGGAAGCGACGTGAACGACATTTGTTCTGAGCTGCGCGGGTCAAATCGCTGGCCTGGGGCTATTGTGTGGTTGGCTACGCCTGTTTAGCGGAGCAGGTGCTAACAGGTCCGCTTCACATTGTAGGCAAAACGGGAAAACTGTAAAACCATCTTGCTGGCTTGGCAGCGGGAGTTGAGGCTGGCAGGCCCGCTTCGCACGTTGGCAGATGGTGCGCGAAGCGGTAAAACGGTTTACTGTTGTACTGGCGAGAAGAGCGGCTGATGCTAACAGGGCTGCTTCACACGCCGTAGGTAAAACGGCAAGACCCTTAACCGGTGTTGCCAATTTACAAGCAATGAGCCGTTTGACGGTTTAAAAACCCTACTTTATCATTAATACAGTCTCAGAGTAAATACCGTATGTCACTTTGGTGTGTCGCACGAAGAATCTTATTGCAATCCACAACCAAACCCTCAAGACAATGCTGTAGCTTTAGATGCTCGTGAAGCAAACTATGCATTCTACTCACTCCAAAAAACACGAGTGCGTCAGCTACGGCCGCCAAAATTGAATATTCCCAAGTAAATATTGTTGAAGCAGATGGTAAAGAATTTGTATTCCACATGTATCGAAAACACAACAGTGTGTCAATGCAGACTATCAACCTCCGAACCACACGCCGAATCATACCGTCAACACTACTACTACAACTACAACTCCTACTACTGCTGCTTCTTCTACTACTACTGCTACTACTACTACTACTACTACTAATACTACTATACTACTACTACTGCTACTACGACTAGTACTACTACTACTACTGCTACTGCTACTACTAGTTCTACTCTACTACTACTACGGCTACTACTACTACTACTACTACTTCTACTCTACTACTACTGCTTCTTCTTCTACTACTTCTTCTTCTACCGCTACTAGTACTCCTACTACCACTACTACTACTACCACCACTACTACTACTGCTACTACTGCTACTACTAATAATAACTGACTTCTACTACTAGTACTACAACTACCACTACTACTGCTACTGCTACTGCTACTGCTACTACTACTGCTGCTGCTGGTGCTACTACTACTACTTCCTACTGCTACTACCACTTGTGCAGCGCAAAAGCCTTGCCTCCGAATCATACCCCGAATCATACCCGAACCACACGTCGAACCATGCCTTTCGTTTGCGCACGTGGCCCTGTGACCACACAGGCCCAACGGCAGATTGTCAGCGCATGCAATGTTGCAACAGAAGTTTCAGTTCTTGCGAACTATACCCCAAATCACACCCTCGAACCATACCTCGAATCATACCCGCGAATCATACCCCCCATCCAAACTTCCTGGTTTGAGTTGGCGCAGACCCACGCATTTTTCGAAAAAAAAAAAACGCAACAGTGTTTTAATGCAGACTACCAAGGCAATATATATAAATATTTTGAACTCGGCCCACTCTTACACCAGTAGTTACACATATTGAAAGAGATACAACTAACCATGCAAGTAGCTATTGGTATACAACATGTATTTGCCTCGCATCAAGACACATGTCATCAACATTCTATGCGTATGTGTAACCGCCTAACACATTAGGTCAATAAAGCAGTAACATGTAATTTATCGATTGGTAGTATGGACAGGGTTCCCGGGTTTTCGTTATGCCTTATACAAGAATCGAAATCAAATGTGCATGCGTGTATATCTATATATATATATACATCTATATGCCTTCGGACCGAAAACCGCGCTCAACGGCGTGCGCGTTTTCAGTTCGTTGGCAGAAATCAGAAGCATCGCTGATCAGCACACCCGCTCACGATTACCCGTTCAGCACTGCAGTCATGCCTGCCACATGATCAGCACACCCGCTCACGCGTACCCGCTCAGCGCTGCAGTCATGCCTGCCACATGATCAGCACACCCGCTCACGCGTACCCGGTCAGCGCTGCAGTCATGCCTGCCACATGATCAGCACACCCGCTCACGCGTACCCGCTCAGCACTGCAGTCATGCCTGCCACATGATCAGCACACCCGCTCACGCGTACCCGCTCAGCACTGCAGTCATGCCTGCCACATGATCAGCACGCCCGCTCACGCGTACCCGCTCAGCACTGCAGTCATGCCTGCCACATGATCAGCACACCCGCTCACGCGTACCCGCTCAGCACTGCAGTCATGCCTGCCACATGATCAGCACGCCCGCTCACGCGTACCCGCTCAGCGCTGCAGTCATGCCTGCCACATGATCAGCACACCCGCTCACGCGTACCCGCTCAGCACTGCAGTCATGCCTGCCACATGATCAGCACACCCGCTCACGCGTACCCGCTCAGCACTGCAGTCATGCCTGCCACATGATCAGCACACCCGCTCACGCGTACCCGCTCAGCACTGCAGTCATGCCTGCCACATGATCAGCACACCCGCTCACGCGTCACCCGCTCAGCACTGCAGTCATGCCTGCCACATGATGCTCACACCCGCTCAGCACTGCAGTCATGCCTGCCGCGCTCACGCGTACCCGCTCAGCACTGCATGTCATTGCCACATGATCAGCACACCCGCTCACGCGTGCCCGCTCAGCACTGCAGTCATGCCTGCCACATGATCAGCACACCCGCTCACGCGTACGCGCTCAGCACTGCAGTCATGCCTGCCACATGATCAGCACGCCCGCTCACGCGTACCCGCTCAGCACTGCAGTCATGCCTGCCACATGATCAGCACACCCGCTCACGCGTACCCGCTCAGCACGCGTGCCCGCTCAGCACTGCAGTCATGCCTGCCACATGATCAGCACACCCGCTCACGCGTACGCGCTCAGCACTGCAGTCATGCCTGCCACATGATCAGCACGCCCGCTTGCGTACCCGCTCAGCACTGCAGTCATGCCTGCCACATGATCAGCCCACCCGCTCACGCGTGCCCGCTCAGCACTGCAGTCATGCCTGCCACATGATCATCTCACTGCGCTCAGCACTGCAGTCATGCCTGCCACATGATCAGCACGCCCGCTCACGCGTACCCGCTCAGCACTGCACTCACCCACCCAACCTACCGACCAACCAGCCACCCAGCCAACCAAGCAGCTAGCGACAGCATGGCCACAACACAACACAGCATGCAAAGCATATGTCCCGAATTCGCTGTCTTCGCAATCGCCGCTGCTGTATCTCTATGTAAAGTCTTGGCAGTGGCGGTACATCTTGCGACAGCGAGATGTGGAGACGCAGACTGTGCGAGCCCTGCGCCGGAGGTGAAAACGGCAAGGCAGCAGAGTGGGCGAGATAACTCGCGTTTCGCCTAGGCGAAACGCAAAACGCATGAAAAACTGACCCCTGTTTTCGGCCTCGTTTTTGGGGACACAGTAAGCGTTTCGCCTAGGCGAAACGCAAGTTTTTTCCAGAAATGTGGCTAACCGCAAGCGCGGTTCTCGGTCCGCCGGGATCTATATGCACATACACATTCATGTCCTCTATGACTGTTGCAACAAATACTTTCTTTCAGAGATACACATTGGACTCAAGCAAAAGAATGTATTAGTCAGAATAGGTATTGTCCTAAGGCAGGAAACACGTTTATCAGAGGAAGCTTAGAATGAACTTCCGAGATTTAAAGCTAGCTCTCTGACAGAAGACAAGAGAAGGACTATAGGCGCCACAAAGAAAACGACTTCGCGGGGACGAAGTGGAAGAATTTGACGGGGGTGACAAGGTGGAGTGACGGCACCGAGATGGTCACGCTCGATTACTCGCGCCTCACCAGCGTGCTCTGGTGGGTGCGCGATGGCTTCCAGGCCAGGCTGGACGCGGTGGAAGCCTGGCAGGCGCAGCGTGGGCCGAAGAGCGCGACGCCTGGTCGGAGCGTGTTCGTGGCAGGCTCGGGCCGCGCTCGGAGAAGGGCCCGTTGGCATGGGCTTGATGAAGCAAGTCCGAATTGGTCTGGTCTTTGAAGCTGGACATCACGAACTCTGGGCCGACCCTTCTTGTGGCAAGAACTGTCTTTCTTGGTGTCATGTGTGAAGACCGTAGTGCTCCCTGATTGCTATTTTGCCAACAGGGGGTTGGGCGTCCAAGATGCGCCAAGTAGTTGTGCGTCTAGGAGAAGTTTTGGTCATTGGCGGCGCAGCTCCGCACAGATAGCGTGTTTCGCCGCGGCTGTGGGTGTGGTTGGTATTTAGATTCGGTTTCATGTCGAACCCAGGCGCGCGTGTGACGGCGGCGTCGGTGCGATCTGTGAGGGAAAGCGCAGCTGACGCTGTTGCCGAGGAAGAGGACGGCGTGTAGGCAGCAGTTTGCCAAGCCGAGGGCCGAAGCAAGCTGGGAGCCTAACTTCCCATTTTACGTGTGACGTTTGGCTTCTATAGAGCGAGTCAGCCGAAACCTGCGGGTCGAAAGCTCGCAGAGTTTCCGAAAGCGCTCCAAAGCGTTTGGACTCGTACTCAATGTGAACAGTCAATGGCGCTTGGCGGGGTTGAGGTCGTGATCCTCGTGACTGCTGTCGCTGTTGTGATCTTTGGCGAGTCTTCTAGTTTCGGGCTTATCTAGTAGACACCACGGGGCGAAGCCGCCCGGGCGGATCCGCCGTCGAGCGATCCGGCTGGTGCCGATCTGCTGCGTGCGCTGCGGCAGGCGGCCAGCGCGGAACGGGGCAGGCGTGTGCCGCGGTTTGGTTTTGGCTTTTGGTTTTGATTTGCGTATCGACTCACTTGTCGTTCGTGGCCTTTCGCCACCCTCGGCTTTCCAGAACACTCCAAACGCAACAGTGGCTGGCGGTGGAAGGTCTTGCCTCCTGCATTGTGTGCTGCTTTGTATGGAGATCGGGCGTGGCTACAAAACTATGTTCATGTTAGGGCGCGCTTCGGTTTCACCACTCCGGCCGGATTCTCCAAAGCCGCCCAGCCTTTGATCGCTTGAACGAGTCATGAGCTCACTTGATGGTCGTAGTGTTAGAGATTGCAACGGCCAACATTTACTATGGCGCGGCTCTTATCAGGCACGTAGGTGAATGTATTGTACAGCTAGGTTGAAACGATGCAAAGCCGCTGATAGAAGCAGTCAGAGACTCACATAGGTAGATATAGATATATATATATATGTATATGTATCATTTATTGATTTGTTTGTGTCTGCGTATGCTTCATGAAAGCTAGCTACGTCAGCGTTGGATTTTCCCTGTTTTAGTAGTCACTCCTCCCTAGCAATAAACGCACCATATTGATGAATATCGCTTACCCAGACCCCGGATCCCCAATACAACTTTTAGAATACGCCAGTTTTAAACCAAATCTGAACCTGCCGAATTCGCGCCAATCGCACCACTAGTCATATTCCGGGGTATTCCAGCAAATTTTTGATAGCCTAAGTGCATATCTACTTTTCTGTACATCTGACTGTAATTCTCTCTTCAAATTGCGCTTGTACCGTTGCACCGCACAAAGGACAAACAACCTTGAATTGTTTCACGTAAATTCGTTGCTCGGATATTGCGATTTTGATTGTCTTCGTGTCCGAGAGAGGGGGGAACCCATTCGGACAAGGACAGGAAAGGACATCCGGTCGACCCCTGATTTCCCTATTAGTGAATTTTGTTTGCCGCCGACCCATTATGCATCAATAGGGAGGCCGAATAATTGGGGGGAAGCGATTAGTTTCGAGGGCTGGTTGGCTGTTTCAGTCGCCGGGCGGGACGGGGTGGAGTGGTGCGTTGCGTGGCCGGCCAAATTAGCGGTGAACAGACGGGACCTTTTGCAGACAAGGGCTCGGAAGCGGACTGGGGCTGAACGGGCTCAGCAAACTCACGTCAAAGTGCTTGTCGGACTCTGGGACTCGGCAGGCTCATCGGACTCATCTTTGGGACACCAAAAGGAAACCGAAAATTTCGGGCGTGTCTCTGGGCGTTTAGACAAACAGATGGCCACCGAGGCAGATGGATCCAGTTTTTGGCCAGCCAAAGAGCTGCGGCCTCCAGAGGCCTCGCGGCGGTTTTGCAATGGTTCATTTGAAGGCACTACCCAGAAAAGGGGAGCCAAATGAACTGTTAGTGTGTTAGATATTGTCCACTGCGAGTTCTACTTAACAACTCTTGGGCCGCGTGTGTTTGAGTGCCGGCCTGCTTTGCCAACTCCATTGTTCCCTTGAGTTCGGGCTTGCGTGTTTGGAGCCTACCATATTTCCTCCGAGATCCGCAGCGACCTGGACGAAGAACTCGCCGTGCTGGAAGCAACTTATTCCCACGCTTCTGTCAGGACGTCCGTGGCTCTGACACAACATAGGCACGTCAGCCAAGTTGTTTTTCGCTTGCAAAGGCTCGCCACTGAGACCGTGCTGGACTCCATTCCAGGCACCTTGCATCCTCTTCTCATTCCAAACATGCATTCAAGCGCTTTGCCGCAGGCTCAAAGGATGGCAGCGCCGCCTGGGAAAGTGCTTCAAGGGAGGTGCGCATTTCGGCATACATTATATTGGGTCAAAACCAATGGTACCATTTTGGGGTAGGTGCACTTTTAGTCTATTTTAGTAGGGATTGGGATGTTCACTGGGGTACGGGCGTTTGACCCATGGCCATATTGATGGCCCTCAAGTCATGGCGCAGCTTTTGTGTGTGTAGCTCTTTGCAATTGACTTTGCGATTGGTGCAGGTCATTCTGAGTGCTCTTGGCCTGCCTTCTGCCGAAGGCGCCTGGAGCAGCGGTCCACGGAGTGTTGTTTTTTCACTCGCCTTGCACGCGGGTTCGACAGCATTTGCTTGGGTGGGAAGATGGTTTGGTGGGTTAGAGTTGGCTCATAGGTTTCGCCATATATTTGTATTATCTTTGTTTTTGGTCGATTTCCATGATCCTTTCTTTGTGGGCCAGGCGAGGCAGTGCAGGATGTGCGGCAGGCGCCATCCAGTCAGAGCACCGATTGAGTCAAGCAAATCGTGCTGTCAGGAGGTAACGCCTGCTTCGAGGTCAAGCTGCGCGCCCGAAGGCGAGACATTGTCCCAATCTGACTGCATGGAAATCTCGTTCAGGTGAGGTCAGACCCATCCCGCAGGCTGGGAGTTCGGGGAAAGCACAGCTAACATGGGTGTGCCTCTGTTCGAGGGTCCCTTTTTTTTCTTCCCCGGCTTTAAAAGGAAGCCAAAAGGAGAAGCGAAGCCATTCTTTCGGGTCCAACCTCAGAAAAGAATGAGCCACCCACATGGCCTTAGCTGCGCCCAGGAATCGCTGCACAGCAGTCCTGCAAACTCTGCAGTGACATCCGTGGGTGCGGGCCACAATGGATACCAGGCACGCCGGCGTTTATTGCCGTGCTGTTGGAATATGACATGGATGGACGAATCCATTTCGCGCCACCGCTCAGAAGCCCAGGTTTTGGATTCGATTTTCAACCATCAAACTGCTGCAAACCAAGCATCCACAGTATGGACACATTGGCGGTCGTGCCTGCGCTGCCGTCGTCTGGCATCGCTGGCACTGCAGTCGTCGCTGTCGTCGTCATCGATCTTGTCGCGGCGTAAATGTGTCGACGTGTGGTCCTCGTCGTCGACGGCATTGTCCTATGTTTTCCTAGTGATCCTTTGCTGGGTATGGGTGAAAATTAAACCATCAGGGGACCGCAGGTTTGAGTCCTTGTTTCCATTTACCAGGGGTTCTATTTTGGGTACATCATTTTGACCCACAGCCTGCTTACTCCTCTCTCATCCTTACCCAAGCCTTGGCATCGGCGTCCTTCGGACCCACAGCCTGCTGACTCCTCTTAGTGCGTCGATCTCATTACCCAAGCCTTGGCATCTGCTTCTGGCCTTGAAGGGTCCCAAGCGGCTCGACGTATCTTGCACGGTATCTCATGCAGCCGAAGAAAGTCCCGTGGTTGGGACTTCTTCTTTTTTTAAGGAGAAGTATTCAATCAATGCTTTTTTGTTGTTGATCCTTGTCACGTTGTTTGTTTTTTGGATCCAGCAGCCAGTAACTAGCCCACATGTCTAGGTTCACTGAGTGAAGCACAGCAAAGCCGCTCCAGGTCCATGCAGTCGGAGTGCCTGGCGCGGTGCTCTCTGCTGAGGCCGCCTGGGTGTGTCCTTTCTTGGGTTTGTCGGTACCCCGGTTTGTAGGTTTTAAAGGCACTGCAAAGGAAATCTGAGGCCATGTTGGGTCCAACCTCAAAGCGATGCCCATGTGGAATCTCAGCTGCGCGGCAGGACGAGGCAGTGACTGGCAGGGGCCCCGTGGCGGAGAAGCCGGCAACCGAAGTGGTTTGAATGGAGAAAATGAAAGGGAAAGCTTGTTTAGGCTTCACTGCCCTTGGCAAGTTATTGTTTTTGGAAAGTTTGTTTCTTGTTCTCTTCATTTTAGTAGGGGGCTGCAGAATCAAAGCTTTTTGCCACCGTACCAAGGGTTCTATCGTAGGCTCCTCATTTTCCTATGCTCACTTTCTGTGCCTCTTTGTTTAGGCTTGAGACGTCGCGGTGGAGTGGAGGTTGTCATTGAGCCATCTGCCAGCCCCTTAGCCGGCCACACGCCGCCTTCACCAGATGCATCGTGTGAACTCCACTCTTTCAGGTACCAGCTCGCCCTCCAAGTGCAGAGCCTAGTCAGGCCGCAGGTCTACTCCCTGTTGCCCAGTAGTGCCTTTTTTCTCTTTTCTTTGGCAAGAGTTCCCCTTTAAAGTCAACCAACCCAAAAAAGGGGTGCCCTTTTTTCCCAGGCATCTGAGCACTCCGATTCTACGCTGCTTTCCCTGAACACCGCCGCCGTTTCTTTTGGGAAGCAAAGTGATGAGACAGCCGGACCTGGTTTTATGGGTCAGGCGCTCCGATTGCTAGGCTCTGATCCGCTGGCTTCGAGGCCTCCAAGACCGGCCAAGGCCCCGGTCGGCCCATCCGCGGCCCTTTTGGCCCTTTCGGCCCGCGGGACCCCGCGCGGAGCGGTTTTTTTTTTGCGAGTGGGTGGACCACTGGAATCCAAGGCAGGCGCACCTGATGAAGCCCTGCCGCGGTCTGAGAGCTGGAGACACTCGAGGAATCCCAGGTATTTCCTTGGGTTTTTGGTGTTTGTTTTTGTTTTGTTTTGGTTTCGCTTAGTTTCCCTTGGTTTTGCTTGGCTTCCCTTGGTTCCATGGCTGAGACACGGGTCGCATCTCTCGCCGATGTCCGCAGACAGGCCGGGACTTGGGCCGAAACCTCGCCGTCCATCGGCTGCTCGAAAGGCGGGGAGCGCAAAAAGCGCTCACCGATGGGATCAGCCCTGGCCGGACCGGGGAATTCCAGTTCCTTTAGAAGCGATCGGTATATCAACAGCTTGGGACTTGAAACGGTCTTTGATTAGGACAATATGTATGTGTACATGAACATATAGAAGTATATATGTATATATGCTGTACACAAAGAAATATATATATATATATAGTGGTGTTAAACTCAGAGCGACTTTGCGAAGCTGATACCTGCATGGGATGGCCAGGGCGCTGGAGCACTTTTGTGTCGGCCTGCCATACAGCAGCGGTTGTACAGGATGTTCGTATATCAACATACACTGTGATGTGGGTGGCTTTGAATGGATGGATGGATGGATTGATGGATGGATTGGTTTACCGACCAAGGGACTGGTTGCCCGACTGCCTCGAAAAAAACGAGCGGTCGACTGACTGATTGCAGATTCATGGGATTGCGTTGCAAGCTGGGAACATAGGTGTCCATTTTAGGTTAGTTTGGTTAGAAGTAAATGGCTCGGGTTTTAGATTGGTTTCATTCCATTTACCAGGGCCATCTATTTTTCCGAAAGGTCACCTATGGCTGTGAAGGCATTCATGGGAATCATGATTTGATCCTGTGCAGGAAACGCCACGGAGAAGTCTATCTCTTGGTTTGCGGCTGAGCTAGCTCAGCTTTCCTGGCTGCATGAACCGCAAAGAAGCAAGGTCGGCGGATGCAGTCCAACCGGAAATTGGTCAGGAACGCGTTGGAGAAGACCTGCCTCAAGGCGCGTCAAGCATAGCCTGGTCACGGCTAGTGACCCCCTCGTTCAGGGCGATGCCAATCGCGAGCAGCGTGAGCAAGTCCTAAGATCCTTTGATGAGGATTTGGAGAAGTCTTGGACCCGGCCAGGCTTTGAACCACGGAACGGTTTGGCTTGCGGCATGATCACAAATGCGGATGTTGCGGGTTTTGGTGCTGGGGCCCGACTCAGGTGCGAACGCTTCATCATCCTTTTCCGGAGCATTCACACAGGTTGGCATGTCTCTGGATCCGTTCATTCCTGAGCCTTCTGCCTCTTCCACGACCGCAGGTCGTCACGACTTGCGCGCGCTCTACGGCTTCTTTGAGGCACCAGCAGCTGTCCTTGGCAGCCCGGTGCCATCACAACGCACCGTGACCAGAAAAACTCTTCTCAGTGGCTCGTTTTCAGTGAATGAAGGAAAAAAAGGGGCGCTCTCCAACTCCAGCAGTGTGTTTGCCACGCAGGGTGCCTGGTCCAGAGTGCTGCAAGTGCTTCCATCGCCCGCGCACGCCTGGCCAGTGTTGTCGATTGCTAGCCTTATGGCTGTGGGTCAAAGCCAATGGTACCATTTTGGGGTAGGTGCACCACCCATTTTAGTCTATCTTAGTGGGGATTGGGATGTTTACTGGGGGTACGGGATTTTGACCCACAGCCTTATGATCCTTGGACGTGGTCGTTGCGGCGCGTGGTGGGCGTTTGTCAGCCAGGTCGCTCGAACAGCGCATGGTGGCGCAGTGCCTCCGGTATGATTCGGGTGGAAAGGACTGGGCAACCAGGGTATTGACGTATTTCCTACCAGCCGGACACATGTAGCTGGCACTGGCCTGTTGCATGTTTCAGCACGCAAGAGAAAAGGCAGGCAGCATTTCTTGGTGCAGGCAAAGAGCCAGTAGGATGCCATGTGCCATTCCTTCAGCATGTCAAACAACGGGCAGTGACCTTTTCGGTGAAGTCTCCCGCAGGAGTTCAAAGAGGTGCCTGCATCACAAGAGACGTTGTCCGTTGCGGACGCGGTGCGGCGCTCAACTGCGATAGAGAAAAGTGAGTTGCCGCGCAACCGAATGGCCCAGGTTTTTCTGCATCCGCAGTACCTGCAGAAGTCTCGAGTAGTGGTGCCATGAGTCCAAGGGATGCAAAGACACGTCGGCCCAGCAAACTGTTTCACCAGCTGGGCCGCAAGTGCATGTTCATCGGCTTCAAGGTGACTTTGGTTGTTTGCTCAGTGTTCTTAGTCTGTTCGTCTAGGGCGCAGGCGTTGTACAGTGCGAAGGCTACGGCTAAATCCGGAGAAAAAAAACACAAACAACTCACATTTTTCGGAGAACGAGACATGCAGCCATGCGTGCGACATCTTTCCGCGTGAACTCCGAGCATTTGCGGCCACGGCTCATGGCTGCGGCCTCTCAAGTCCAATCACGAGTCCTATCACGCTTCGCTGATCTTGCGTTCTACTATCGCCCTTGAGGCGCCGAGGGGAGCGAGACAGATGTGTGTGTCCTTATTTTTGAACTGCCATCGGAGGCTAGCATGTGTATATATATATGTATGTATGTATGTATGTATGCATGTATGTATATATATATATATCTAGAGTGGCAGATGTATACACATAGCAATCTCTAAGTTGAGAAAGGCGTGTTTCTTGGCAGTGAGCGATGCAGGCATTCTTGACGAGCCTGCGCAATCACAGCAGGATCCTCAGCATTGCCATGGTCCTACGCCGCAAGACAGCGATGTGGCTGTGAATCACAAGCAGATCAGTGAGGGCTGTGGGCTGGACTAGCTGCGCGGGCATATTCTAGCCCGAGATCATGCTATGGCATGGAAGCTGAGATTTCGATGCTGTCCGATGCGCAGATGGAGTTTGTCCAGGAGTTGTGGAGGTGAAACGCCCGATCCGCGAGCGTCAGATCCGACCGAGTCAGCTGTCAGTTCAGGTCCCTTGGCCTGGAGATTGTGATCTTTGCCGGTCCCTCGGAAACCCCACGTGTGAGATGTGTTTTTTTGGCAGAGCTGCCAGGTTTCTGGGTCTGGGTGGCATCTGTTTCGAGGTGGTGACATTGATTTGCGCCTTTGTGGTGCGGGGCATTTCGGCCAAAGCGGGAGGCGCCGGTCTGCGGGGATTCTTCTGGGGGTTTGTCACTTTCCAGTGGTTTGGCCGCCAGGCAAGACTGTCTCTTCTCCAAAGGCCGGCCGGAAGCCGCATTTTGACCATGCGTCAGAGTGCCCGCAGGTTTCAACGCTGTCTCCCGCTTTCTGGGTTCATGAACTTAAAAAGCTTTTTTCAATGACCGTACACAAACCGTTTGGATTTTTTTTTGGCTGGTCTACTCAGGAAGTGAGGTCTTTTCAGCCTTGAACTGCAGAACCTGATCAGGTATCTTTCGATCCACCGAAAACATCGCCATCCAGGCCAATGCGTTTTGCTTGTTCCCAAAGTGGATGGGACATGGGAGTTCGAGCGCGAGAATCACAAACCATCAATCACATCAAGCGTGAATGGCAGGGCAGTAGTTTTCATGTTGGACGCAGCTGAGCTGGTGTGTCTATTTTGGGGGTACCTCCTGCTGTTTTGGTTGTTTCAAGGGAAACCGAAGGGAAAGACGTCATTTCGAGGGGGCGGCCTAAAAACAGACGAGCCCGCCCAGCTTCCTTTGTTCGTCCGGCAGAAGCCCCTTCGGTTCAGCTAAAGTCTACCTGCCGCTTGCCAGGCGTTCAGAGCCCGAGAAGACTGGGGAGACAGAGCGCTTACCTCAAAGCTTCTTGCCATACCAATGAATTGAATGCGACCAGCACTTCCACTGATACAGCATGTATTGCAGACCAATTGTAGGGAAGTGCCCGCCCACTAGGTTGTGGGCGTGCAGGTTTGGGCGTGCATCGCAAGTCTCACTCCTTGAGGCCCGCGGATGTGCTTCGTGAGGCGCGTGGCAGTTGCCGGTGCTTGCCGTGCCTTGCCGCACCAAAAAGCTCGCCAGCTCATTCAATGCCTCCACGAGCATGGTGGCCCTTCGCGCCCAGCAAGGACCGCACGTTTTCTCCCCAACAGCTGCAAGCTTTGGGGTCTCAGCCCAGATAGGCTCCGGGGTGGTCCGGGGCGGCTGAGGCAAGGTTCCACGAGGGTTCCACGAGGTTCTGCGAGGGCTACGGGGTGGTGCGAGCACTAGAAAGAGTACCGCATGCTGTTGGGGATATCACCTGAGCGTATTTTTTGTTTTCGCGTCCGTCGCTGGGCTTGACATGTTTTGCCAGGATTCTTGGCCTTTATGCGGAGCTTCGGCATTTGCTTCACAGTGCGTCAGGGGCCGACCTGGGTCATGACGGCAAGCATTGAGGGCGTTCTTTCTGGACGCTCCACTTGTCAGGGGCAAGACGCTGCCAGAGATCACCACAGGGCACCGCGCCAGTGATCTCTACACCAGCCTTGCACAGCTTGTCATCCGCGTGGCCGCCTCAAACGTGATCCATGCGCGCGTGCCGGATGTTTCTCGCACATCCGTTTTGCAAAGGGAAAATAGATGGGGCCAACTGGTACCTTGCTGAGACCGGAAAGCATCAAATGCTCAACTCGATCATCGATGACATGATTCAGAACGAGGCGACTCAGCTCTCCATTGGCAACTTCATATTCAACAGACGTGCAGAAATCAAGTCATTGGCCTTGTTGGACCCATTTGTGGCAGGTGCCGCGGAGCCTGGCCTTCTATGAGAGTGTCCGTGGCTCAAAGGCACATTCCACAAGCAGGCTTACTGCTCTGAAGCTTCCATGGCATTGCTGTTGCTTGGCAGAAGTGAAATTGGTATCAGCGTCCCTCCTCCTCCTCCTCCTCCTCCTCCTCCTCCTCCTCCTCGACAACGACGACGACAACGACGACAACGACGACAACGACGACAACAACGACAACGAAGACAACGACGACAACGACAACGACAGTAAAGAGGAGGAGGAGGAGGAGGAGGAGGGGGAGGAGGAGGAGGAGGAGGAGGAGGAGGAGGAGGAGGAGGAGGTTGTCGTCGTTGTCGTTGTCGTCGTCGTTGTCGTCTTCGTCCTCGTTTGTGGTCGTCCTCGTGGTCGTCGTCGTCCTTCTCCCCGTCCTCGTCCTGGTTCTCCCGGTCCTCCGTTTTTTGTTTTTCTCCTCCTCCTCCTCCTCCTCCTCCTCCTTCTCCTCGTCCTTGTAGTCGGGGTCGTCATCGCTATCGGCATCATCAGTAGCGGGGATAGGTCAATTCACCAAATTACAGCTAGGACATGAAGGCTTACTCACCAATATATGTTAGAGGCGCACGCATGCTGACTTCAGCTATCTCTTCCGCGTTCGTGCGTTCATCACAGAGTGCTTCATGACCATTCCTGGCACCAAGGCTATGAAGCAGTTGGCGGTGCAGAAGCAGTTTCGCTTGGCTTTGCGCCTGAAGCCCTGCCTGGCACGTCAATCGGGTTGGATCGGTGGACTCCCTCAGCTGAATCTCCGTAGCAAGAGGAGGAGAGCAAATCTCCTTGCACTTGGCTGGACCCATGATGGGCTTTCTCCTTTTCTTTCTGGCGCAATTCCTCTTCTGTTGTTTTTGGTTCTTTTCTCCGAGTCATCTGGCGACAGCCCGAGGTATCTATGACCGATTGGCGGAGGACGGACTAGAGACCACAGCAATCACATACAGCTGCCTGGTCCGCTTCGCCGCGGAAGCCTGGGGCTGAAGCCGAGCTTTTTTGAAGCGGGATTCAGCTTCAGTTTGGGGATCCGAACGAGTGGCTCTTGCGGAGGGTTCAGTCGGGAAATCCCGTTTCACCTCACCAATCCAAACTGCCAATTGGAGGGAAGCTGACCCTTTGCTGGGATTTGAACTCGCACTCCTGGTTCAGGGTACATTCCGAAACTGCCCAGGCTCACCGCCAATTAGAGGGAGCCTGATTTCCGGGGTACATGTTCCACATCAGACAATCACCTCAGGTTGGCGACTTCACCAGGGCGAAAGACTTCTTTGAGCCGCTTGGGCCCGTTGCGCGGCTACCGCTACGTCCGCTACGGATTCCGTTTCGTGGCTCGGGCCCATGGCAGGAAGCTCAGCTCACTGACCACCCCCTCGATTC